GGGACAGAGTTGAGTCTGGGACAGAGTTGAGTCTGGGACAGAGTTGAGTCTGGGACAGAGTTGAGTCTGGGACAGGAGTTGAGTCTGGGACAGAGTTGAGTCTGGGACAGAGTTGAGTCTGGGATAGAGTTTAGTCTGGGACAGAGTTGAACCTGGGACAGGAGTTGAGTCTGGGACAGAGTTGAGTCTGGGACAGAGTTGAGTCTGGGACAGAGTTGAACCTGGGACAGGAGTTGAACCTGGGACAGGAGTTGAGTCTGGGACAGAGTTGAGTCTGGGACAGAGTTGAGTCTGGGACAAAGTTGAGTCTGGGACAGGAGTTGAGTCTGGGACAGAGTTGAGTCTGGGACAGGAGTTGAGTTTGGGACAGAGTTGAACCTGGGACAAAGTTAAGTCTGGGACAGGAGTTGAGTCTGGGACAAAGTTGAGTCTGGAACAGGAGTTGAGTCTGGGACAGAATTGAGTCTGGGACAGAGTTGAGTCTGGGACGGAGTTGAACCTGGGATACGAGTTGAGTCTGGGACAGAGTTGAGTCTGGGACAGAGTTGAGTCTGGGACAGGAGTTGAGTCTGGGACAGAGTTGAGTCTGGGACAGAGTTGAGTCTGGGACAGAGTTGAGTCTGGGATAGAGTTGAGTCTGGGACAGAGTTGAACCTGGGACAGGAGTTGAGTCTGGGACAGAGTTGAGTCTGGGACAGAGTTGAGTCTGGGACAGAGTTGAGTCTGGGACAGAGTTGAACCTGGGACAGGAGTTGAGTCTGGGACAGAGTTGAGTCTGGGACAGAGTTGAGTCTGGGACAGAGTTGAACCTGGGATAGAGTTGAATCTGGGACAGAGTTGAACCTGGGACAGGAGTTGAACCTGGGACAGGAGTTGAGTCTGGGACAGAGTTGAGTCAGGGACAGAGTTGAGTTTGGGACATAGTTGAGTCTGGGACAGAGTTGAGTCTGGGACAGAGTTGAGTCTGGGACGGAGTTGAACCTGGTATAGGAGTTGAGTCTGGGACAGAATTGAGTCTGGGACAGAGTTGAGTCTGGGACGGAGTTGAACCTGGTATAGGAGTTGAGTCTGGGACAGAGTTGAGTCTGGGACAGAGTTGTGTCTGGGACAGAGTTGAGTCTGGGACAGAGTTGAGTCTGGGACAGAGTTGAGTCTGGGACAGAGTTGAGTCTGGGACAGGAGTTGAGTCTGGGACAGAGTTGAGTCTGGGACAGAGTTGAGTCTGGGATAGAGTTGAGTCTGGGACAGAGTTGAACCTGGGACAGGAGTTGAGTCTGGGACAGAGTTGAGTCTGGGACAGAGTTGAGTCTGGGACAGAGTTGAACCTGGGACAGGAGTTGAACCTGGGACAGGAGTTGAGTCTGGGACAGAGTTGAGTCTGGGACAGAGTTGAGTCTGGGACAAAGTTGAGTCTGGGACAGGAGTTGAGTCTGGGACAGAGTTGAGTCTGGGACAGGAGTTGAGTTTGGGACAGAGTTGAACCTGGGACAAAGTTAAGTCTGGGACAGGAGTTGAGTCTGGGACAAAGTTGAGTCTGGAACAGGAGTTGAGTCTGGGACAGAATTGAGTCTGGGACAGAGTTGAGTCTGGGACGGAGTTGAACCTGGGATACGAGTTGAGTCTGGGACAGAGTTGAGTCTGGGACAGAGTTGAGTCTGGGACAGGAGTTGAGTCTGGGACAGAGTTGAGTCTGGGACAGAGTTGAGTCTGGGATAGAGTTGAGTCTGGGACAGAGTTGAACCTGGGACAGGAGTTGAGTCTGGGACAGAGTTGAGTCTGGGACAGAGTTGAACCTGGGACAGGAGTTGAGTCTGGGACAGAGTTGAGTCTGGGACAGAGTTGAGTCTGGGACAGAGTTGAACCTGGGATAGAGTTGAATCTGGGACAGAGTTTAACCTGGGACAGGAGTTGAACCTGGGACAGGAGTTGAGTCTGGGACAGAGTTGAGTCAGGGACAGAGTTGAGTTTGGGACATAGTTGAGTCTGGGACAGAGTTGAGTCTGGGACAGAGTTGATTCTGGGACAGGAGTTGAGTCTGGGACAGAGTTGAGTTTGGGACAGAGTTGAGTCTGGGACAGAGTTGAACCTGGGACAGGAGTTGAGTCTGGGACAGAGTTGAGTTTGGGACAGAGTTGAACTTGTGACAGGAGTTGAGTCTGGGACAGAGTTGAGTCTGGAACAGAGTTGAGTCTGGGACAGAGTTGAACCTGGGACAGGAGTTGAACCTGGGACAGAGTTGAGTCTGGGACAGAGTTGAGTTTGGGACAGAGTTGAGTCTGAGACAGGAGTTGAGTCTGGAACAGAGTTGAGTCTGGGACAGAGTTGAGTCTGAGACAGGAGTTGAGTCTGGGACAGAGTTGAGTCTGGGACAGAGTTGAGTCTGGGACAGAGTTGAGTCTGGGACATAGTTGAGTCTGGGACGGAGTTGAACCTGGGACAGGAGTTGAGTCTGGGACAGGAGTTGAGTCTGGGACAGAGTTGAGTCTGGGACAGAGTTGAACCTGGGATAGAGTTGAGTCTGGGACAGAGTTGAACCTGGGACAGGAGTTGAGTCTGGGACAGAGTTGAGTCTGGGACAGAGTTGAGTTTGGGACAGAGTTGAGTCTGAGACAGGAGTTGAGTCTGAGACAGGAGTTGAGTCTGGGACAGAGTTGAACCTGGGATAGAGTTGAGTCTGGGACAGAGTTGAACCTGGGACAGGAGTTGAGTCTGGGACAGAGTTGAGTTTGGGACAGAGTTGAGTCTGGGACAGAGTTGAACCTGGGACAGGAGTTGAGTCTGGGACAGAGTTGAGTTTGGGACAGAGTTGAGTCTGAGACAAGAGTTGAGTCTGGGACAGAGTTGAGTTTGGGACAGAGTTGAGTCTGGGACAGAGTTGAACCTGGGACAGGAGTTGAGTCTGGGACAGAGTTGAGTCTGAGACAGGAGTTGAGTCTGGGACAGAGTTGAACCTGGGACAGGAGTTGAGTCTGGGACAGAGTTGAGTTTGGGACAGAGTTGAGTCTGGGACAGAGTTGAACCTGGGACAGGAGTTGAGTCTGGGACAGAGTTGAGTTTGGGACAGAGTTGAGTCTGAGACAAGAGTTGAGTCTGGGATACGAGTTGAGTCTGGGACAGAGTTGAGTCTGGGACAGAGTTGAGTCTGGGACAGGAGTTGAGTCTGGGACAGAGTTGAGTCTGGGACAGAGTTGAGTCTGGGATAGAGTTGAGTCTGGGACAGAGTTGAACCTGGGACAGGAGTTGAGTCTGGGACAGAGTTGAGTCTGGGACAGAGTTGAACCTGGGACAGGAGTTGAGTCTGGGACAGAGTTGAGTCTGGGACAGAGTTGAGTCTGGGACAGAGTTGAACCTGGGATAGAGTTGAATCTGGGACAGAGTTTAACCTGGGACAGGAGTTGAACCTGGGACAGGAGTTGAGTCTGGGACAGAGTTGAGTCAGGGACAGAGTTGAGTTTGGGACATAGTTGAGTCTGGGACAGAGTTGAGTCTGGGACAGAGTTGAGTCTGGGACAGGAGTTGAGTCTGGGACAGAGTTGAGTTTGGGACAGAGTTGAGTCTGGGACAGAGTTGAACCTGGGACAGGAGTTGAGTCTGGGACAGAGTTGAGTTTGGGACAGAGTTGAACTTGTGACAGGAGTTGAGTCTGGGACAGAGTTGAGTCTGGAACAGAGTTGAGTCTGGGACAGAGTTGAACCTGGGACAGGAGTTGAACCTGGGACAGAGTTGAGTCTGGGACAGAGTTGAGTTTGGGACAGAGTTGAGTCTGAGACAGGAGTTGAGTCTGGAACAGAGTTGAGTCTGGGACAGAGTTGAGTCTGAGACAGGAGTTGAGTCTGGGACAGAGTTGAGTCTGGGACAGAGTTGAGTCTGGGACAGAGTTGAGTCTGGGACATAGTTGAGTCTGGGACAGAGTTGAACCTGGGACAGGAGTTGAGTCTGGGACAGGAGTTGAGTCTGGGACAGAGTTGAGTCTGGGACAGAGTTGAACCTGGGATAGAGTTGAGTCTGGGACAGAGTTGAACCTGGGACAGGAGTTGAGTCTGGGACAGAGTTGAGTCTGGGACAGAGTTGAGTTTGGGACAGAGTTGAGTCTGAGACAGGAGTTGAGTCTGAGACAGGAGTTGAGTCTGGGACAGAGTTGAACCTGGGATAGAGTTGAGTCTGGGACAGAGTTGAACCTGGGACAGGAGTTGAGTCTGGGACAGAGTTGAGTTTGGGACAGAGTTGAGTCTGGGACAGAGTTGAACCTGGGACAGGAGTTGAGTCTGGGACAGAGTTGAGTTTGGGACAGAGTTGAGTCTGAGACAAGAGTTGAGTCTGGGACAGAGTTGAGTTTGGGACAGAGTTGAGTCTGGGACAGAGTTGAACCTGGGACAGGAGTTGAGTCTGGGACAGAGTTGAGTCTGAGACAGGAGTTGAGTCTGGGACAGAGTTGAACCTGGGACAGGAGTTGAGTCTGGGACAGAGTTGAGTTTGGGACAGCGTTGAGCCTGGGACAGTGCTCGGATGGGCGACCACAGTGCACAGCACCTAATGAAGAGACAACTTTCCCCTTCACAAACCCGAATCTGCACATCCAAAATCAAAGCGTTTATCACACAAATCATTCACAGTTAGTTGCTTTAGACTGCTGCAAGGCTACGCGGTGAGCTGCAGAACCATCCATTGTTGGTTACTGCATCGTCCGCCTTCACGAGAAGCGGCGATGACCGGCGTGGTGAAGTATGGTCGAAAGGTCCGCACGGCGTAAGGAGGCCCTCATCTGGCAGTGGATTGACAACAGCAGCTGTGTGTGGCACAGGGACTACCTTGTGTGTCCACGTGGTCTTACCGTGAAGAAAGGCGAGTTCGAATCTCGGTCCCATCCGTTTCAATCGTGTTTTGTTAAAGTGTTTTATTATTAGAGTGTTTTATTATTAAAGTGTTTTATTATTGACGTGGCCACAGGGCGGTTTTGTCTTCAGCACGAGAATTAGAAAAATACATCGCAAGAGCACAAATAAAATAAAACCTTTATTCACTTCAAACAAAAATAAGATTTTTTTTATTCAAAACATTTTACAATTATAAATCACGCATGAATGTTATCTAAGAGTGCAAATTCTATAATCATTGCTAGTTGTAATAACATTACATGCAAAAAACCATTTATTAAAAAAAATCACAATAGCGCACGTATAAACTGACGAGACATTTGTGGCACACAACATCTCAAACGGTGCAACACAGCAACCCCTGGACTCGCACCCGCTCCCCTCCTACTCGCCCCACTCGTGCGGGGAGGCCTGGGGACCAGGGCCGGGTGATTTCCCTTCGCCTCCGTTCACACCGGGAGCCAAGGGGCACCCTGTCCCTTCAACTGTGCGACGCAACGCGACCCACCCCTCACCGTGAACGCCTCTCTCATGGCGCTCGGGCCCTCGGCCACGTCGACCTGTCTCCAAGCCACCGGCCCCAGTAAACATGCGACGTTGGGATAACCTTTGGCATGTTGTCGGGACAGTCGGGACCAAATGTTGGACCGACGTCCCACGTTTACTAGGAGGTCCTCGGTTTGGAGGTTTCTCACTGTGCACAATTGTGTGGGTCTCCGTTATGGGACCGAACCATCCTGTTGTTTGTGGCGGAGGCCTAACACTGGTCCCAGGTCCTCATTGTGTTGAAGGCCTCTCTCATGGTACCCACGTCCTCAATGTGCAGGAGACCACATTTCCCCGATGGCTTTGCTGGGATTAGATCAGAGCGAGGTCCAGGGCGAGTTGGGGGCTACAACATCCCTAACCCTGGCCCAACTTGCCCTCGTGCGGGAGTGAAAGGGTGGACAAGAAGTTAGCTTCAGACGATGGTGAACAAACAACAGCAACAGAAAACAACACATCAGCAGCATTTCACACACCCCCATTGAATTATTTTTGCTTAAACCCATTTGTCTTTATTTAGCACCCATCTCACTGCTCCTGGGAGACAGCTGCCCCGGTCCGGCCGGCCTGGTCGCAGGCCTCAGGGGGTGACACAGGGGCCCCTGCCAGGGGCGATAGCGACCGGAACGCCGGGAGCTCGGGAACCCCAGCCGGGAGCGGGGTGGAGCGCAGCTGACCAAACTCCCCAGTGTTGTACATCGCACCTTCGCCTGCATCCTCATCCTCATCATCATCGCCAACATCATCTTCACCCTCCTCCACATCACTTCTCCTACCGGCCACGAGGTCCTCTCGATGGGACCCCTCCGTTGAGTCCTCGTGAGACAGGGGCGAGCGGCGAGGCCACGCGCGGTGTCCGCGCGTGGCCTTCTCCGCGCGGCGGACGGGGGACAGGCTCGAGTGGCGGGGGCGTCCGATCGGTTGCGGGGTCCCCCCGGAGCGCCCCCCCTGCGACCCCACCGACCCCAACGACCCCAACGTCGTGCGCGGTGACGATGACGCCGACGCCGACGCCACCGTGGGCGACGCCGACGCGAGGAGCGGCGAGGGCCGCTCCTCGCGAGGCGACGTCGTGGCGTGCCCTGCGGCGGGGCGGAGTTGCGTCGGTTGGGACGGGCGTTCGCCCGCCTCTGCGGCGAGCGTGGAGCCCCACGCCTGCTTGCCCCTCCCCCCATGCGAGAGGTCGTATGACAGGTCGGGTGACAAGTCGTGCGACAGGCCGCCATCCTCCAACCTCTGCTCCAGATGGATTTTGTCTGCAAGACGATCGCAAAAGGAATATCTTGGTTGAAAGACTCGCTCGCCCTGACACGGTGCCAGCACACTTCCCATCTTCCCACGTGCACGTGTGCGTGCGTGTTTGTGTGCAGTCCCATCATCAGTGAGCTCCCCTGGCAGGCGAGGTTGTGTTGGCTGGGTCATGTAGTCCACATGCCCAGCCACCGCGTGCCCCAGCAGCTTCTGTTCGGCCGGATAGAGGGGGCTAAACGGGAACGGCACGGACCGTACTGCATCAGATGGGACTGATACAGTACAGGAAGATGTGGAGCTGAGTGGACTTGCCGATGACTGGTACCAGCAGTGTCAAGATCGGCCTCTGTGGAGGAGGCTCGTGAAGGACGCTACTGGGCAATTGGAGCCAGTCGCCCTCCAACAACAGTGGAGTGTGGAGGAGCGACGCTCATAACAACGAGCGAATCGCCGGGCGGCTAAAACACAGAGAGTTGTCACAGTGCAGAGCAAAGCTGGTGCATCTGCCAGCCATCTAAGTCAACCCACAGCACCTGGGTCTGTTCCGTGACCTGTTTATAAGCTTTCTATACTTTATGTGCTGGCCTCAAGGTGCACCTAGCCTGGCAGGAGCACTATGGTGACATCTCCACCACTGATTGGCAAACAGCGGCTGTTATGTGCGTGTATGCGTGAGTGTGTGTGCGGAATTTTGTACCATCGGACACTCCACCCCCACAACTCCCAATCGGTGATGGGGTAGTTGTGGAGAGAGTGGAGAGTTTTCCATACCTGAGCAGTGTGCTCATGACCGGCTCCAGTTTAACAGCAGGTCTCACTCCGCATCAGTCGAGCGGCAATATCTTTTAATCAGTTGCATAACACTGTATGGAAGCTACCTGGCCTGTCGCTCCACACGAAGCTTCAGGTCTTCTTGTCCACGGTCATTCCCTCCCTTCTCTACGCTTGCGAAACGTGGACCCCCCTAATGGAACATCTTCGCCAGTTAGAAACATTTAGGCTAGCCTGCCTACGATCCATCCTGGGTTCAACCAGGCTGGATTGTGTGAGGAGCTCACAAATCCTTGAAAGATGTGGACAAAGTCCCATCAATGAGCTCCTCCCACAGGCAAGGCTGCGTTGGCTGGGTCATGTAGCCCGCATGCCCAGCCACCGCATGCCGAAACAGCTTTTGTTCGGCCGGATCGAGGGGGTTAAACGGGCGCGGCACGGGCTAGAGAAGAAATGGAGTGATGTGGTACAGGAGGACGTGGAGCTGAGTGGACTTGCCAATGACTGGTACCAGCGGTGTCAAGATCGGCCTCTGTGGAGGAGGCTCGTGAAGGAAGCTACTAGGCAGTTGGAGGCAGTCGCCCTCCAACAACAACGGAGGGCGGAGAAGCGACGCTCACAACAACGAGGGGAGCGCCGGGTGGCTAAAGCACAGCAGGTTGGCACAGCAGGGGGGCACAGGTGGTGCATCAGCCAGTCATCTCAGTCATCTCAGTCAGTCGACCCGTGGCACCTGCAAGGACTGCCCCGTGACCTCCTGCCAGCGGGCGTTCGACACTTCACGTGGCATAAAGGTGCACATGGCCTGGCACAAGCGTCGTGGTGACGTCACCCCCACTTAGTGGCGAATGGCGGTTGTTGTTGTTGTTGTTGTGTTCGTACCTCTCATGAGCTTCTTGTTTTTCTCCTTCAGCAGCTTCAGCTCGATCACCAAGGCCGTCACCTGCGCCACGCGGAACCACGGCGGCAGTGACGCCCGCCAGCACCCACACCACGGTTACTCACGTGGGGGGGGGGGGAGAATGATGTGGTGTGTACTCGTGTGAGTGGTGTGTGTGTGTGTGAGTGGTGTGTGAGTGAGTGGTGTGTGAGTGGTGTGTGAGTGGTGTGTGAGTGGTGTGTGAGTGGTGTGTACTCGTGTGAGTGGTGTGTGTGGTGTGTGTGAGTGGTGTGTGTGTGAGTGGTGTGTGAGTGGTGTGTACTCGTGTGAGTGGTGTGTGAGTTGTGTGTACTCGTGTGAGTGGTGTGTGAGTGGTGTGTACTCGTGTGAGTGGTGTGTGAGTGGTGTGTACTCGTGTGAGTGTGTGGTGTGTGTGAGTGGTGTGTGAGTGAGTGGTGTGTGAGTGAGTGAGTGGTGTGTGAGTGGTGTGTACTCGTGTGAGTGGTGTGTGAGTGGTGTGTACTCGTGTGAGTGGTGTGTGAGTGGTGTGTGAGTGGTGTGTGTGAGTGGTGTGTGAGTGAGTGGTGTGTGAGTGGTGTGTACTCTTTGTGTGTGTGAGTGGTGTGTGAGTAGTGTGTGTGAGTGGTGTGTGTGAGTGGTGTATGTGAGTGGTGTGTGTGAGTGGTGTGTACTCTTTGTGTGTGTGAGTGGTGTGTGAGTGGTGTGTACTCTTTGTGTGTGTGAGTGGTGTATACTCATGTGTAGATGCAGTATGTGAGTGGTGCGTACTCTGTGTGTGTGTGTGAGGTGTGTATTCTGTGTGCGAGTGGTGCATAATTTTGGCGTGTGTGCGTGCGTGCTCCTGTGTATGTGCGAGTGGTGCGTGAGCCACGTGTTGACGGCGCCCGTGCCTTATTGGAGTTTGCTTGTGCGTCCTTCCTCAGCTGCTGGAGCTCGGCCTCCAGGCTCTCAAACCCCGGCGTGGCCCGCACGGCCCGCAGCTCCTCCTCCAGCACCCGCACGCGTCCCGCCTGGCCCTCTATGGCCTCGATCGCGTTCTAGCGAGCGCGCCGCACGCGCACACACGCACGCAACAACAACCACCGTTGGGCACTAAGTGGCGGTGACGTCACCACGGCACTTGTTCCAGGCTATGTGCACTTTGAGGCCACGTGCAGCCTCGAACGCCCGTTGCAGGAGATCACAGTACAGACCCTGCAGGTGCCATGGGTCGACTGACTGAGATGACTGGCCGATGCACCACCTGTGTCCCCTACTGTGCCAACTTGCTGTGTTTTAGCCACCTGGCGTTCCGCTCGTTGTTGTGAGCGTCGCTCCTCTGCCCTCCACTGTTGTTAGAGAGCGACTGCCTCTCCCCAGCAGCGTCCTTCACGAGCCTCCTGTATAGCCTAACAGACTGTTGGGGCAAGAGCACCTATAAAGGTCGGCACAGCACACGAGAGGCTGGGTGGCCAGCATCACGCCCGGCCGCCTTTGTCTCCCTCGTGGCAATGTGTACACACCACACCAGGTACTCAGTTTAAGGCTGAGCTGACCTAAGGTAATCATCACCGACGGTGTCCGTGAGCAGGAATTGAACCTGGGTCACCGGGTTCATAATGTAGCGTGCTAACCGCTACATTACCGCTCCCCATACACCCTCCCCATACACCCTCCACACACACCCCACACACACCCCACACACACCCCACACACACACACCCCACACACACACACCCCACACACCCCACACACACACACCACACACACACACCACACCACACACCACACACACACCCCACACACACACACCCCACACACACCCTACACACACACACCACATACACACCCTACACACACACCCTACACACACACCACACACCCCACACACACACCCCACACACACACCACACACACACCACACACACACTCCACACACACACCCTACACACACACCACACACACCACACACATACACACCCCACACACACACCACACACACCCCACACACACACACCCTACACACACACCACACACATACACCACACACACACACCCCACACACACACCACACACACACCACACACACACACCACACCACACACACCACACACACACCCCACACACACCCCACACACACACCACACACACCCCACACACACCCTACACACACACCACACACACACACCCTACACACACACCACACACACACACCCTACACACACACCACACACACACACCACACACACACACTCTACACACACACCACACACACACACCCCACACACACACCACACACACCCCACACACACACACCCTACACACACACCACACACACACACCCTACACACACACCCTACACACACACCACACACACACACTCTACACACACACCACACACACACACCACACACACACACTCTACACACACACCACACACACAAACATGCGCCTGACCCCCCCCCCGCCCCGGCACGTACCCGGATGATGCGCGAGCGTGACACCCAGTCAGCGTGCGAGGGGTCCCCGCCGCTCGGCTCCGCACCCGACACCGTCTGGTACGCCTTGCGCAGCTCCCGCAGCTCGATCACCAACGCCGTCAGCTGACGGTGTGCGGGGCAGGGGGTGCGGGACGGCGGGGTCAGAGGGCGCACGCGGTCAAGGTCAGGGAGCGCGGTTAGGGGACGGCAACAATCACAATTTTGACGCGTGAAGGTTGGACGTGACCCAGGGAGGCCTTCATCCAACAGTGGATTGACAATGGCTGCTGCTGATGATGGCAATAATGAAAGCGTCTAAATGCATCCAAATCTCAAGAAGCGGTCAAGGTTAGGTCAGGGTCAAGTCAGGGCACGGCACAAGAGGGCACGGCGAGATAAGGAAAGGGCACGCCTGAGTAGTAAGGGTAGGTTCAGTGGGCATTTAGAAGGAGCAAAGGGCAATTGTCCTGCAACCTAGTGTGTCGTGTTGCTAAACATCCTGATCATGTGCCAGCTGTGTTGTGGTGTGTGGCGTGCGTGGTGTTGGAGTGTGACCAGCGAGTGAGGGGTGCCTGGTACTGCGAGTGCCGTGGTGTGGTGTAGTGGTGGTGGTCCAGACAAAGTCCCATCAGTGAGCTGCTCCGGCAGGCAAGGCTGCGTTGGCTGGTTCATGTCGCCCGCATGCCCAGCCACCGCATGCCCAAACAGATTTTGTTCGGCCGGAGACAGGGGACTAAACGGGTGTGGCACGGGCTAGACAAGAGATGGAGTGATGTGGCACATGAGGACGTGGAGCTGAGTTGGCGATGACTGGTACCAGCGGTGTCAAGATCGGCTTCAGTGGAGGCTCGTGCAGTACGCTACTGGGCAGTTGTAGGCAGTCACCCTCTTAACAACAGCGGAGGGCTGAGGAGTGACGCTCACAACAACTAACGGAGCGCCGGTTGGCTACAACGCTGCAAGTTAGCACAATAGGAGGCACAGGTGGTGCATCTGCCAACCATATAAGTCAACCCATGGCACCTGGGTCTGTCCCGTGACCTCCTGCCAGCGGGCGTTTGACACTTCACGTGGCCTTAAAGTGCACCTAGCCAGGCGCAGGTGCCTTGGTGACGTTCCCGCCACTTAGTGGTGAATGGCGGTTGTTGTTGCTGTTGGGTGGACCACCTGGGTGGTTTTGAGTTGGTCGTCCTTCTGCAGATGCCGGGCGACTCCCTCCAACTCCCGCACACGCAGCTTCTGAATTTCCGTGGAGTCCCGCAGGTCCTGCACCCACCGAATGAAAGACAAAGATCCCCCATGTAGCCTTTAACAGGCGGTTGAGGCAAATTCTGTGAGCGAACACCTATGAAGGCCGGCACGGCACACAAGGGAGTGGGTGCCAAACACCATGCCTCCCACTCCCCAGTGGCAATGTTTTTACAGAAAGAGGTACTAATTTTAAGACTGAATTGACCTAAGGGAGGCTCAGGACTGGTTTAAATATTCATTGGTCATGAATGGGAATCGAACTCGGCTCGACGGGTTCGTAGCGCAGCACGCCAACTGCGACACTACCCATCCCCACATACGTGCACAGACATGCAAACAAGCACGCACATACATATACACGTGTACGCACATGCACGCATGCTGCACGCACACACACACATCAAGTTCTCTACTCAACGCCTCCTTCCGTGACCCCAAACTCCTGCCGCACTTAACATTTAGCTCCTTCCGGCTTGATCGTGTACGGGACAAAGATTTCTCTCCGTGGCGGGATAGCAGGCAATGTGCTGCCCTCTGCTGTATGGGCAGCGAAGGTCAAGCGAATAAATCTCAGAGGCAGCTCTGTGATATCCGCTTCCCAATGGAAGTTCTCCGACACGGAGGGTCGCACGCGTGACGCCGTGACGCTGGTGTCGCAATATCGGGGTGAAGTTTGGGCACGAGTCCCGTGCGGAGCGGTGCGCCGAGCGAGGGTGTCCCTCCCGGGCGGGAGCGCCGCACAACCTGGAACCCGCTGCAGATTTGCCGCAGCTCCCGCTGCGCGTGGTCGCGCTCCTCCTGCAGTGCCAGGTTCAGCCGCGACAGATCTGCGATCCGCACGGAAGGACGGAAAAAGACAAAAGATCTCCCTTGTTGTTGCATAGACTGCCGGGGAAAGTGCTGTTAGCGAGGACCTGCCAAGGTGAGAAGAGCGTGTGGGGCAGTTGTGGGATAGCGACGAGGCTGATGAGGTAGTAGCGAGGTGGCGGTGCGGCGGTGGTGGTGGTGGTGCGGCGAGTTGTCACCCTGCACTTTGGCCGCCAGATCCTCGGCCTGCGCCCGGGCCTTGTTGTGGCGCTGGCGGAACTCCCGGTTCTCACGCTCAAGGCTGACGCGCACACGCACACGCACGCACGCGCTATATACACATGCACAAACACACATGTGCGTCCGCACACACTATATACACACACACACACATGCATGCACACATATGCACATTACAACACCAATGCCTGTACTATATACAGTTTCTATACGTATACACAAAATATACACAGGTACTACGATACATCCCACACACGGTCGGCAGAGTGGCTGCAATGGTTACGCTCTCGTGCCTCACAGCAAGAAGAGCCTCTAGGTGAAATGTGCATGTGTGTGTATGTGTGTGTGTATGTGTGTGTATGTGTGTGTGTATGTGTGTGTATGTGTGTATGTGTGTGTATGTGTGTGTGTATGTGTGTGTATGTGTGTGTGTATGTGTGTGTACATGTGTGTATGTGTGTGTATGTGTGTGTATGTGTGTATGTGTGTGTGTATGTGTGTATGTGTGTGGGGAGCGGTAGTGTAGCGGTTAGCGCGCTGCGCTATGAACCTGGCGACCCGGGTTCGATTCCCGCTCACGGCCAACACCAGTGACGATTATCTGAACCGGTCCCGGGCCTGCCCTAGGTCGACTCAGCCTCAAATGAGTACCTGGTGCGGTGTGTAAGCATTGCCACTGGGGAAACAAAGGCGGCCGGGCGTGGTATTGGCCACCCACCCCCTCGTGTGCTGTGCCGGCCGTCATAGGTGCTCGCTAACAGCACTTGCCCAAAAGTCTGTTAAAGGCCTTTGTCTTTGTATGAATGTTTATGCATGTGTATGAATGTGTATGAATGTGTATATTCTCCCCCTGTTCTGCACGGCTTTCCGCCGGATTCTCCGGGTTCATCCCATTCGATAAACCCCCCACAGCCAAACCGGCCAACGCAGCAGCAGAGCCCTCCTGAAGAGACGCTGTGAGGCTTTCCCATTCCGCCACGGCAATAAGTGGCGTTCGCAAGCCGCCTCGCCACGAGCTGCTCAAGGCGGGGGGTGCGGGGGGTGCGGGGGGTACCCATTGTCTAAGATGTGAGCCACACGGAGTGAGCCACACGGAGAGAGCCACACATAAACCGTCTCAAATCTGAGGCTGCCGAGGAAAATGATGGCACCGCCGACAAACGCCGCTCGACTTGCGAGCAAAACAACAGGAATTGACTTTGGCCGGAGATGGAGTTAATGAGTGACAAGGAGCGCACCCTGCGCTAGGAACCAGACGGAATCCCGACTGAAACGTCCTCGTATAATCAATCACTGGCCACAGGGAACTCCCGCAGCTCATGTGATACAACGAGCTCCCTCCCAAGCACTATGACGCACGCTACACACGCAAAACACAAAGATCTCACGTGCAGCCTACGGGGACTGGTTGGGGAGAGTGCTGTTAGCGAGCACCTATTAAGGCCAGAACGGCGCACGTGTGGGTGGGTGGCCAGCACCACGCCCAGCCACATTTGACTCCCAAGTGGCGATGTTTACACACCAGGTACTCATTTGCGGCTGAGTCGACCTAGGGGAGGCCCAGGACCGGTTCAGATATAATCGTCACTGGTGGTGGCCGTGAGCGCTAACCGCCACATTACCCAGCCACACAAAGACACATACACAGACACACACACACACAGACACACACACACAAAAGACACGCAGACACACACACAGACAGACACACACACACACACACAGACAGACAGACACACACACACAGACACACACACAGACAGACACACACAGATACACAGACAGACAGACACACACACAGACACACACACAGACAGACACACACAGATACACACACAGACAGACACACACACAGACACACACACAGACAGACACACACAGACACAATGTGACCACAGCCTCCCCTGCACACACGGGCACATGCAGAGGGGCCCCACGGGGTCACCGCTGGACCGTGGCGCTTGTGGCGGTGGGCACGTGCCGCCCGGCACGCGAGTGGCGCTACCTCTCCAGCTTCTCCGTGAGCGTGGAGCCCGAGCGCGCCCGGCTCTCATCCAGCATCTCCCTCTCCGACACCTGGCAGAGAGGGCATGCGGGTGGGCGGTGAGGGAGGTCTCCACCGCCAAACGCAAACCGCCAAACCCAGCCGCCACGGCAGCGGTGCCCCCAAGCACCGACCTTCATCTCCAGCGCCGTGAGCTTCACCGTCAGCTGGGTCTTCTCGGCTGCCAGCGCCCGCTCCCTGCTGCCACACGTCTCCTCCCTGCGGCCACGCGCACAGTGGCAAGCACCGCCCGGCAAGCGCGTCAGTCGGCTGCGGATCGCCGACGAGCTCTAACAGCACGAAGCCGGGCCAGGAGCGGTTGCTCGGGCTGGGCCCGACCGGCCGCTTGCTGCCGACTCGACAATCCTCGATGTTCCAAAGCCGTTCGATTTTAAACATTACAGACGGGAACGAAACAAGCGTGTGCTTGTTTCTGGTGTATGCCGCCTGTACAGGAGCACGGACACAAGCGACCGCGCCTCAGGAGGCCCGGTACGCGAGCGCCACTCGTATCGCACAAAAAATGGAATCCCGCTGTGCACAGTCGCCAAGACGATTGGCCGCTCAGTCAACTCTCGATCGCTCGGGCTAACGGGGAGAGGGGGGGGGGGGATGGTGGAGGAGGGGTGAGGCCCAAATAAAAGAAAAAACACACATCATGCAAAACACACGTGAATAAGGATGTTAAAACATTGGTTATTGTAGGTTAAATGGGGGTAAAGAAGCCGAGGGCATCGGTGTAGTTGTGTACAAGGCTCGTGCTGAGTAACCGACGCGCGACGAGCGGGGAGCAGCGCGCGCGTCAACACGTCACTGTGCTCTACGCGAGCACGGTTAATGTGCAACCCGCGTGAATCCGCTCGCGGAGAGTCGAGAGTTCAGTGGGATCGGACAAAACGACGATCCCTCCTTCCGTTACGTCTGACACAGAGTCGCTCGCGACGACGGGTTGCAGTCGGCTGACGCGAGTGGAGTGTGAGGGAGCGTGGGGTGTGAATGAGTGTGAGCGGGAGTGAGGCGGGAGTGGAGTGTGAACGGGAGTGAGTGGGAGTAGAGTATGAGTGGGAGTGAGTGGGATTGATGCGGACACGTTCGCCGCTTACTTGTGAGTGAGCTCCCTCCGTAAGGTCGCGACCTCTTGCTCCAGGCCTTGTCTCTCCGCACTGCAGCTCGCCAGCTAACGATTATCATGGAAACGGAGCGGGGTGGGGAACAGCAGTGGCAGGGGTACAAAATTCGAGACAAATGCAGCGCTGGCGGAGGGACGAGTAAAAGGACGCGTCGACCATGCGGCCCCTTGACCTCTGTGACCATGACCTGGCTATCCTGGTGACCATGTGGCCTACCTACGACTCCGTGACCTGGCCCACCCAAGACCCCGTGACCTGGCCCACCCAGCACCTCGTGACCTGGCCTATCCAGGACCTCGTGACCTGGCCCACCCAGCACCTTGTGACCTGGCCCACCCAGCACCCCGTAACCTGGCCCACCCAGCACCCCGTGACCTGGCCCACCCAGCACCCCGTGACCTGGCCCACCCAGCACCTCGTGACCTGGCCCACCCAAGACCCTGTGACCCGCCCGACCCAGAACTCCGTGACCTAGTTGACCCAAAACCTCACGACTCAGCCGACCTGGGCGCGCGTGGAGGTCAGCTCCAGCTGCTGGTCCTCCAGGGCAGCATCACGGCTCCGGAGCTCGTCCCACACGCGCTCCATCTCCGCACGGACGACGCTCAGCTCCCCGTCCAGCTCGTCTAGAGAATGCTGCTCGCGCACACGCAACCACACGCATACACATGCACCCACACGTGCACACACCCACGTCTATGCAAAGACAAAGATCCCTCCCGTGTAGCCTACACAGGCTGTTGGGGCAAGCGCTGTTAGCAAGCACCTATGGCGGCTGGCATGGTGAACCAGGAGGTGGTGTGGCTAGAACCACGCCCAGCCGCTTTTGTCTCCCCAATGCTCCTGTTAACACACTGCAGAAGGTACTCAAGGCTGAGTTGACCTACCTAGGAGAGGGAAGCCCAGGACCGATTCAGATATTAATCATCGATGGTGGCCATGAGAGGGAATCTAACTTGGGTGGCCGGGTTCATAGGACAGTGCGCTAACCACTGTGCCACCGCTCCCCACACCTATAGACACAAGCACACACACGCGCCCACACTCACGCACACACACACGCACGCACACGCACGCACGCACATACACACGCGTCCACTCACGCACACACACACACGCGCCCACACTCACGCACACACACACGCAAGCACACACACGCACGCACACACACGCGCCCACACTCACGCACACACACGCACGCACGCACGCACACACGCACACACATACAGGCGCCCACATGTGCGCCCACACGCACGACACCATCTCACCCGAATTTCATGCGGCCGTTTCATCATCGCTTCCTCCAGCTCCTGTGCCGCACAGAGACACAGAGACACACACGACATGGAGACACACACGACATGGAGACACAAAGACAAAGAAACACGGAGACAAAAAGACACGGAGATACAAATACATAAAGACACGGAGACACAAAGACACGGAGGCACAAAGACAAGAGAGATACAATTGAAATGGAAACACAAAGACACGGAGACACAAAGACACGGAGGCACAAAGACATGGAGACACAAAGACATGGAGAAACGGAGACATGGAGGCACAAAGACACAGAGACACAAAGGACGAAAGCATACAATTGACACAGAGAGACACAAAGACACAAAGGACGAAAGCATGGCACTGCCGCCTCCGCCCCAGCCCCCAACCCCTTTGACCTCTGACCTCTCTCAGAGTGGCGATGAGCTTCTCCTGCTGCTGCTGCAGCTCCTGGTTCTCGCCGAGCCGGCGCCGCAGCGACTCCACCTCCTCCCCGGTGTCACCGGCGCTTGCGCTGCGGCACGCCGGCCGGCGTGGGGAGAGCGAGAGGGCGCGCGTGGGCGATTCAACGCATGGGAGCGAAAAAAAGAACCAAGAACAATCATGCACACGCACGGATGTGATTGGCGGGTCTTCGTGTGGGGAGTGGTAGTATAGTGGCTAGGGCACTGCACTACAAACCCAGCAACCCGAGTACTGTTCAACACCATTGGTGATTGTCTGAACTTGTCCTGAGCCTCCCTTAAGTCGACTCAGCCTCAAATGCACCTCCAATTAGCACGGTTGGCTACATACGGTGCGAACGACGTTCAACAGACATATATACAAACACGTACCTCGTGCAGTGTGTAAACATCAGCACTCGGGCGTGGTTCGTGTATGGTGAACTTCTTCCGCACCGTACGTAGCCAACCGTGCTAATCGGAAGTGGTGCTGGCCACCGCTTCGTGTGCCATCGTTCCGGCCTTCGTAGGTGCTCGCTATCCTCACTTGCCCCAACCTAACAGTCCGTGAAGGCTATACGGAAGGGTGCGATCTTTGTCTTTGTGCGTGACCCGCACCTGCCCAGGTGTGGCTGCGCGTCTCTGTGCTCCTGCGCCTGACTTCGCAGCCGGCGACACTCCTCCTCCAGCTCCCGCACCTGCGCGAGCACAAAGCGCTGTGAGCGAGCGCCCACCAAGGCCAACGTGGCACCTGCCGACACGCACACCCACTCACACCTACACGCGAAAAACAAAGATCACCCCGGTATGCTTGCACGTACGTATGTTGAACTTCTTTCGCACCGTACGTAGCCAACCGTGCTAATCGGGAGGTACGGGGGAAGGACAACAAACTAAACACAAAGCAGTTCAAAAGAAATACGTTTTTAATCGAGACGATTTAAAAGTGCATAGCTCCAGTGGCTTACTAAAATCGGAAGGAAGAGCGTTACAGACGGCCACGCATCTGAAAGCGCGCGATGCAGAGTGACCGCCTTTGTTCGATGGTTAGCCAAGAGGCTGTTGGGGCCAGTCCTGTGAGCAAGCACCTATGAAAATCAGAATGGCACACGAGGGTGTGGTGTGGCCAGGGTCATGCCTGGTTGCCTTTGTCTCCCGAGTGATGATGTTTACACAACACATTAAGGTACTCATTGAAGGCGACCTGTACAGGTACAGATATTCGCCACTGTTATCAGTTGTGAGCGAGTTTGCATCACAGTGTGCTTGTCGCCGTGCCGCCGCTCCGCACACATAAAGACAAAGATCCCCCGTGTAGCCTCAACAGACTGTAGGGGCAAGCGCTGTTAGCGAGCACCTATTAAGGCCGCCACGGCACACGAGGGGGTGGGTGGCCAGCACCACGCCCGGCCGCCTTTGTCTCCCCAGTGGCTATGTTTACACACCGCACCAGGTACTCATTTGAGGCTGATTCGACCTAGGGAAGGCCCAGGACCGGTTCAGACAATCATCACTGGTGTTGGCCGTGAGCGGGAATCAAACTCGGGTCGCCGGGTTCGTAGTGCGGTGCACTGACCGTTGCATGACTGTATCCCGCGCACACACCGCCGCACACACACCTGCATCGTTGCCAGCTGCAGCTCGGCCTCCCTGGTCTCCACCACGATGTTGGCCTCTTCGCACCGCGCACGCCACTCCGCCTCCATCGCCGCCTCCGCATCACCGCCGTCCAGGTCCTGGGTTCTACCGAGGCGCGACGGCGACGGCGACGCCGATGGCGTCGCCGCCTGTCCCTCCGCTCGCTCGTGCACGCGCGACTCCAGCTCGGAGCAGCGCGCCTGCGACTCCGCGAGCGCCGTCCTGCGCACGCGACGTGGCCGGGCGACGGGACAACGTCGCTATCGTCGTCACGGTCGTCGGCAGCTACTCGTCACCGGCGAATGGCGGCGACTTGGGGGGCTCAGCCTTCCATCCAGCAGTGGATCGATCGTGGCTGATGACGATGAATTCCGTTACCTTTCGAGACGCACGCGGTGACTGCGCATGGCGCGCAACGTGACGACGCGCAAATTCCATCGTCGGACGGCAAGCACCGCGTGTGACGTCGTCGTCGTCTTGGCCGACGAGGCTTCTCAGTCTTGTAGCGCTGGTATTTTATCGTCAAGCTTTGAGTCGCCCCCTTTGCCACAGTGCCAGCTGCCACTGCCAACGGCCTTGGGCTTGAGTGTGAATGCATGTCCCCCAATAGCGACGCAATTCGATGCTGAAATGCAATTCGCATTGGAGTTATCGGGACCCCGTGTTACAGACGGATGCAGCTAACGCACTAACACTTTCAAACTCGAGTAGAAAATGGTTAAACGCGTGGAACGCAAAGTTAACGAAACTGACGTCACGATAACTGTATCGTCAAAATCTGCGTTTGAAGTCACAGAGTCCGTACGTGTGGTAAACGAGCGTCTGCTACGCATGCGTCAGCCTCGCCATCGAGATCCTCCATCTTACGGGACCCTCTCGGTGAGATATTTTTGAAATATTCGTCATTCCGTGGAAATTCATACCGTATCGTGAAAACCGACCCCTTATTCATAGTTGGGGTCAGGCCGCGTAATGATCCGGTCAAACTTGTGTCTAAAACCCCTCCACCACCCGACACAGCTGCCACGTGAAGTTGAACTACGCGGCGAGTTGCACAACGATCCTCACGACCAAACTCAGACTCGGAAAAACGGAGATCACGGCGGAGCAAGGAGTGGCGGATGAGGGGGTGAGGGGGTAAGGGGGTAGGACACATGCCTCGTGCTCTCGTGCGCGTCGCGCAGCGCATCCAGCTGGCCCTGCAGCTGGCGCCGCTCCCTCTCAGCGAGCTCTTTCTCGGCCAGCAGCCGGTCCCGCTCGCCCTGCAGCGCGCCGGCGCGCGCCCCCGCCAGCCGCCCCTCCGCCTCGTGCCGCAGCAGCCGCTCCCGCTCCGTCTCCAGCTTCTGGCGCAGGTCAGACACCTCCGCGGACTGGCGCTCGCGGACCTGCGCCGGCACGGGGAGCGGAGGGGTTAGGGGACGGGTGGGGAGGAGTAGGAGGAGGGGAGGGGTTACGGGAGGGATGCGGGGGTTGAGGGAGGTGAAGGTGTCGTTATCGTTGGGGGACAGCGACAGACACGGGCTTGGGGAGGGCTGCACAACGCGATACCGCGATGGAAGCGGGGCAACACAAACAGTTGTAGCAATATTGGCACAACAGCAGCAATGGCAGGGACAGCGCAAAAAGGGGCATCGCAAAGGAGGGGCGGCACTTGGAGGGGGCGGCACAACAAGGAAGACACGACTGCTGTGCCCATCTCGGTCAGCTGCCCAACCTCCATCCTGTCCTGGTGCCTCCTCTATGACAAACTCCTCTTCCCCATCGCGTCTACACCGCTCACCTTGCCTCGGGCTCCATTCCCAACTTCTAAGTTGCTTGCCCCATTATACTGCCATGAAGTTTGTACAGCAGTGGCCACGCGCCCCTACGCTCGAAGGCCGGAAGCTTCTTCACTACTCGTTTTCATATGCTACTGGACATTTGTGAAAAAGAGCTTCATAGCTCATCGGATTCCTCCAGTGTAAATAAAAATTCAGATTTTGTATAGGGGCTGGGCTATCCGATACACTACCGATTATCGGCTTGATCACTCAACCGGTCGGATAACACGTGTTTACACTTGTGCCGCTGGACGGGAGGTGATGGGCGGGGCTTGGTGACGTCGTCGGAGGCAGGACGTACACACAACCGCCACCATGTAAAGGCATCCAGGTAATGGACAACAAAGTTGGGGCCGATTTACAATCCTTAGCCGATTCACTTCGGTGTAAAACGCGGAGGGGATGCCGCCGCATGACCCCGGGTATGTATGTTGTATGTATGTTGTATGTATGTTGTATGTATGTTGTATGTATGTTTTATGCATGTTTGGTGAACTTCTTTTGCACCGTATGTAACCAACCGCGTTAATCGGAGGTGGGTACCGTCTGCAATGCTCGCAGCTCCTCCACGGCGCGGGCCCTCTCCTCCTCCACTCGTTCCGCGCGACCCTTCACCCTCGCCAGCTCCGCGGCCTTCTCCGCGAGCTCTGCCTCCAGCCCCGACTTTTGCCGCGCCCCCGACTCCGCGTCGTGCGCCAGCGTCTCGGCTCGCTTGCTCAGCTCGTCCCTCTCCTACGGGGTGGGGGGGGGGGGGCAATGGGGGAGCGGGCGGGGGCGCAGCAGCAGCAGCGTTGGCTTAGCACGGACACGAGGACAGCGCAGAAGCGAGGATGGTGGCGTGGACGAGCGGCGGAACAACCGCCGATTGGACGAGAGTGGAGCCCAAGAGGGGTGCGGTAAGTGGGTGGTCGAGGGGGGAAGCGAGCGAGCAGTTGAGCTAGCGAACAGTTAAGTGAGCGGTCGAGTGAGCGGTTGAGGGAGCGACCGAGCGGTCGAGCGAGCGGTTGAGTGAGCGATCAAGCGAGCGGTTGAGAGAGTGGTTGAGCGAGCGGTTGCGCGAGCGCCTGAGCGGTCAAGCGAGTGGTTGAGCGGGCACCCCACACCTGCTTCAGCCGGTCCCTATCTCCCTCGGCCGCCCCAACCCGCGTCTGCAGCCCTGCGGACGCCTCCTCCAGCGCGCGAACTCGCGACGACAGCTGCTCCTTCTCCTGCGTGGTGGGGGGACAACGCGTTTTGTGCCAGGCTAGGTGCACCGCTCAAGACACGCCGGAGGGGACACGTCCGTCACGGAGAAGGAGCGGCGAGATCAGCTTGTGTGCAGCGACGAGACGCGAAACCACGAGAGATGGTGAAAGCAAGTGGGCGTGGAGCAGGTGCCCAACCTTGGCTCGCCAGGAGGCGGTGCACCTGCCCCTTCTTTATGGGATAAAGTGTTGCCCCCCGTGCACGCACAATTGGCTGAAAACATCTTAATATGCAGAGGACCGCAGAGCTTGGGAAATGTGTTGATAGCGCCGGCTCATTGTTTAGGTGCTGAATTCCAGCTCTTCTGTGGTACATTGGCGATTGTGAGAGATGCTCTTTGCATGAACGACACTACATATGCATATATTTGCAACTAAACATGAATAAACGTTATGTGTAGAGATACACCGAGACGCAGGGGGACACACGTGCATCCCCGTATTGCCTGGACATACTGTTGGGGTAAGTGCAGTTTCGCGAGCACCTATGAAGGCCTGCAGGGGTGGTGTGGGCAACCTCACGCCCGATGTTCACACCTCACCCCAATTACTCATTTGAGGCTGAATCGACCTAAGGGGAGGTCCAGGTAACGGTTCAGATAATCCTCACCGGTGTTGGCCGTGATCGGAAATCGAACTCAGATCACTGGGCTCGTAGCGCAGCACGCTAACTAGTGCACCTCCGCTCCCCACGCGCACACGGAGAGACACTCACTGACACACGTCGGAACCCTCACCCGCGCCGACGTTTGCCGCTCGGCCTTGAGCTCGTCCAGCTGCGTCATCAGAGTCCTCCTCACCCACGCGTCCTCCGCCAGTCGCCCGCTCGCCAGCCCGTTCGCCAGGTGAGCGGGGCTCGCCAAGTGAGGGGGGCTCGCCACGCCGGCGCTGGCGCAGCCGTGGGGGCAACCGAGCGGGGTGACGGCTCCGCTGACGCTTAGCAGGGGGCCGACGGAGCAGCGCGAGGGGCTGGCGCCCGGCCAGGGGCCCTGCGGCACGGGGTGGCCCACCCAACACTCAACTCGCGCAGAGACACAAAGGTCCCCCCCTGTGGCCAGCACAGGCTGTCGGGCCGTGCACGCAGCACGAGAAGGCGGCGTGTATACCCTTGCGCGCCCGTGCGTGCCATCCCATACAGGTGTGTATCTGTGCGTGTGTCCCCCGTACCGTGCGGGCCCGCCCCAGGGCCTGCGCGTCGAGACGCACCCTCTCCAGCGAGCGCCGCCGCCTCGTCTCCGTGGCAACCTCGTCCAACGACGACCGCGCGTCCGATATCTGCTCCTCCAGGCGCCGCACCCTGGGGTTGTCGGCGAGCGACTATTAACGTCACTTTCTTCCTTCAAGCGTTTGCCAATTTCTCTCCTCCGGCCGCTCTCATTGACATGCTAATTTCTCTATATAATGCCCCGTCACAGAGTCGTTGTTTCTCTGTGTGTCTCTCTCTGTGTGTCTCTGTGTGCGTCTCTCTATGCTTGTGTTTCTCTCTCTGCTTGTGTGTCTCTCTATGTGTCTCCGTGTCTGTGCTTTTTCTCTCTCTCAAATTTAGCAATCTTTGGACGAGCGTAATCAACCAGGTAAAGTGTTAACTGTTGTGTTAGCCGACTCTCTGTGTTGCATTGCATTATATTTCTAAGTTTACTAGGTTTGTTTTCTCATTCATTCATACCTGATGACGGTTGCTTGTGTTGCAATCGAAACGTCGTATTCTATTATTTATTTTATTTTCTTTCTACGTGACTTTACCGAAAGAAACAAAGAGTTGTTTTAGCACAGTTTGCCGAGCGCAGACCAAAAGATCCAAAACACAAAGCGACCAGCAACCAACAGCACTGTCAAAGGTTTGATCGATGAGAGTGTAATGCCTTTCTTGAATTGAGCAAGGTTATTCTTGTAAGAGCTTGGAGGGAGAGAGACAATGATGGGAGAGGTAATTCCACAGTGGAGCAGTGTGAGGTGACCTGCGGTGTGGTGAGTGCGTGAGTTAGTGAGTCGGTGAGAATGTTGTAATTTGCGGTGTTGTGGTTGAACGCCGTGGCTTGTAGACCGAGTCCTCAACGCGGGCGGAGGAATCAACGATAGAAATTCACGGGAACCGTCACCGCGGTAGTAGCAGTGGTCAAGAAGGGGAGCGACCCGCGTGGGCCTCACCTCTCCTGTAGGCCTCGCTGGTGCGTGCCGGCGCCCGCGCCCAGCTGCTTGCGCTCCTTCTCCAGCGCCGCGATGCTGCTCTCCAGATACTGCAAGCGCATACCCGGGGAAGGGAGGCCGCTTGTGCCGTCACGCTCACAGCCACAACCACGCGCGGCGACGTCGCCCAGCGCTCGGCCAGCAACGGGCTATGAAGCGGTAGGAAACTGACTGAATGGGGGGGGTGGGCGCCGATTCATTTGTTGCTCAGGGCCCATGCCAACCACACTACGCGACTGCTCGTACCACCCCTGGCGCGTGCCCGCTGGCACCCACGTGACCCTGGTGACCCCCTCAATGAGTGTCCCAGCGGAGCCTGTGTGTCCCTGGTGAGTGTCTCAGTGGCGAGAGTCTCAGTGGCGAGCGTCCCAGTGGTGTCTCAGTGGCAAGTGTCTCGGTGGTGTCTCAGGTGGTGAGCATCTCAGTGGTGTCTCAGGTGGTGAGCGTCTCAGTGGTGTCTCAGCGGTGAGTGTCTCAGTGGCGAGTGTCTCAGTTGTGAGTGTCTCAGTGGCGAGTGTCTCAGTGGCGAGTGTCTCAGTGGTGAGTTTATCTGTGGTGACCGTCTCAGTGGTGACCGTCTCAGTGGTGATTGTCTCAGTGGTGAGTGTCTCAGTTGTGAGTGTCTCAGTAGCGAGTGTCTCAGTGGCGAGTGTCTCAGTGGCGAGTGTCTCAGTGGCGAGTGTCTCAGTTGTGAGTGTCTCAGTGGCGAGTGTCTCAGTGGCGAGTGTCTCAGTGGTGTCTCAGTAGTGAGCGCCTCAGTGGCGAGCGTCTCAGTGGCGAGGCTATCAGTGACGAGCGTCTCAGTGGTGAGTGTCATGGGCTCGCCGTACCTTCTGCCGCACGGTGAGCTCCTCCACGGTGGCGCGGCTGTCCGTGAGCTCGGCCTGCCGCCGCTGCAGGCGGCTCGCCTGCTCGGCGAGGGCACCGCAAGCCTCCCGTAGGCTGTCCGCCAGCAGGCCCCGCCGCCGCTCGCTCTGGGTCAGCGACCCCCGCAGGGCCCACACCTCCAGGGTGGAGCCGCCCTCCTCTGCGACGGGGCCCGACTCCGCGGCGGGGAGCATCGGCGGGGTCGAGGGATACCCCCCCGTGGAGCTCCGCGCCACCTTGAGCGGGGGGGTCTCGCTCAGGCCCGAAGGGGGGCCGGGCCTCGCGGGCGAGGGGCCGTCGCGGAGGCCCCTCGCGGAGGAGGCGGGCCCCGACACGAAGGTCCTCGCGGGCGAGGTGCGATGGAGCCTCACGGGCGAGGTGTCATACGGAGCGGAGTCGTGGAGCCCCGGTGAGGAGGTGGGTCCCGTCGTGGAGGTGAGGCCCGTCGTGAAGGGGGCCCCCAGCGCGGTGTCACCGAGGCGGCTGCGCCTGCGGGCGGGGCGCCTTCACTTCGCGATCGCGTTCGAAGCCGAGTGTGGTTCTGCGCGTCGCGTGCGCGGTGAGGCGTGCGGCCGTTACCTGCCCATGCCGACGTCGTAGTCGCAGTGCGTCGTGGGAGTGGAGCCGAAGGGCCGCCGTGGCTCCAGTCCGATCTGGCGGAGGATGAACAGCGCCCCTTTAAAACCGTGCCACTGACAGTCCTATTGTTATCACTGTTGATCTCATGATTGTGGTAACACTGGAGCCTCACAGCAGGAAGGACTTGGGTTTGATTCCTGAATGTGTGCAGTTTGTTCATTCTGCCCCTGTTCCGCATAGGTTTCCTCCGTGTTCTCCGGTTTCTTCCCATAGCTAAAAACATACCACATGCCAACATTGAGCCCACGTTGGCCCATAATGATAAAACATTATGATTATGGCAACTTTTCCCTGAGAACCTGGGATAATTCAGAGGTGGGGTACCCAGCTGCGTACGATTCTTCAAAAAAGTTAATTTCAAATCCCCAATTAAGAGTGTGCAATTCGATTTACTGTTGCTTTTTAATTTACATATGTATATATATTTTTAAACCCATAACAAGCTACATCAAAAACCTTTGACTGAACGGAATCGGCCGACTAAACCACAAGCCAACTATGGTTCGCACGACGACATCCGATTCTGGAGCGGTGGCTGCGCGGTCTTGCCCCAGGCTGGCACTGCGCTGCTGCGCTCCATTTCAGAGCGCCGAAGAAACGTGGCCGGCCCACACGGCAGCGTTACTCTGCACGCCGTTGCATTCGTGAGCTCCGCGTTGGACAGTTTCAATTGCATCAAAATTTACGTGATTTCTTTTTGACGGGTCGCCCAAAAATACCACGTTATACTCCGGACATGCCAAAGGCGGGCCACGCAATTTCAAGTACGCAGCAATACTAAATTGTTATTGCTCCAGGAGTCCAGTTATCCTTGGCTAAGTGTAAATCTACTTTTTATTTATTTCAACAGTTTTTCGCTGGTATGACGAGGCTGTCCGGATCACGAGGGTGTCCCGGATCACCAGGCTTTGCCCCATCTATGGGGGTTTGCCTGATTTCGATTCCTGCGGTTAATATCATAGGTGATTGATATAGCCAAACCCATTCCCTTAACCAACCAAGCGCGGTGAAGTATGGTCAAACAACCCCCCATGGCCTGCATGGTGCTGGGAATCCCTCATCCAACAGTGGATCGACATAAGGACTGCTGTTTGTATTAACTCCATCAGCCTATTGGCCTCGCACATCAATGTTTTTCTAAGCGGAATTTGTTGACGCAGAAAAGCTCGGGACCAGTTTCAATTGTCGGTCTCATGAGCCACCCACCGCGTGACCTGGTGGCAGGGGTGGATTGACAAAGGGCTGCACATTCCTATAAAAATGTATTTGTGCTATGATTTGGATTTATCATAAATACATAAGACGACAATACGCCTAGGTCAAATATCCCTCTCTCCACATATACAAAATATCAAAGTATTTTTTACACATCTCATCAGCCACACGGCCTTCGGTGTGGGAGTGCATCATTTCAGCAGCAATGGTTCAACGCAAGCAAAACCCTGGACCGGCTTCGACGTTGAGTGTCTCATCAGCAGTCATGCTTTGCTTCAAACAAATGCTGGTGGACTGCCAACATGTTTATAGGCAAGGCTCATCGCTGTTAGATATTGGCACTGATTCAAAACTATAAATTACATAACACAGAACAATAATTCGTGCTGTTGTGGAGAATTTAACAAAATAAGTAAGCAGTCTGCTTCTGCACTCAATCAAGAAACCCATGCGTTTTCACCTGACTGCTCAGGGCATGCCCGGGCGAGCCCAAGTCGCACAAACGCAGGGGGGATCTCCGACGGAGCGAGGCCATTGTTCGGTGCTTGGGCGCTCCCTCTGCTTCCGTAGTCTTCGTACGCCACGGCTCCTGTGGTGTGGTTCAATCTGGAGTGAGAGAGGGGGTAGGGTCCGTTGCCTTGTCGTGGGTTGTGGCGGGGGGGCAGTGCAAGCGATTCAGGGCACGTGGGGGGGGGGTGCGTGCCCCCCCCCCCCACAACAGACTCGAGTGGTACAGCCCACCGCTGGATGCCAGATTTGGGGTCAGGACCTGTACACATTTTTCTCAGATGTATTTTGGTCGTCAGCTATGACAAGAGGACCACACTGCACGTCTTCTGGGAATGCTGATGCACAATGCTCAAAGGCAGTGTGCTTGCGTGTTGTTTGAAGCGTGTGTATTTTTTCCAGCCTGCATCATTATCACAATCCATGGGCAGATACTGTAGCCCGTAGGTATGCACTGCACATTCCAGCCTGCACGACACTATTATTCTGTTATCATGGGTGGGAGGGGGGTTCTCGTCATTTGCAGACACGCTTACTGGTGCCATTGGCCAAGCTCATGGGCCCCAGAGAGTGGAAGTGAAGACCTTCAACATTTATGGTTCCCGGAGACAGAATTTGCTGACTCTACTGCGCTGATGAGTCCCCGTGATGCTGAAACAGGTTCTGAGTTGTCTATGACCGTATCATTATCACTGCTGCTGCTATCAACCAGTCACAATTGCTCGAACGTAATTTGATGGCCACTTAATAACACATTCCTGCGGAGGGAGCTGGTAGGAACGTTGGGTGGCTCGGTCAATGGCCAGGGTCAACGGCACCACGTGGTGTATTCCGCAAATATGCCCGACTGAGGGCGGGCACAAGCCGGCGTGAGTAGGTTAAACGTTGAGTTTTATAAGGGCACCACGGGGTGACCAGCCCCTCCCCATCCAGCCACACCCCCCACCCTCCCCACCCAGCCCCTCCCCACTCTCCCCTCCCCATCCAGCCCCTCCCACCCTCCCCTCCCCACCCAGCCCCACCCTCCCCACCCTCTCCACCCAGCCCCTCCCATTTTTGGATGCACGACGGACGGACACAATAATCCCCTGTGGGCTGGTGTAGTAACCAGGAGGTTCCTACCAGTATAACAGGACCACAATGCACTTTTTGTGCATGTGCCCTCCGGCCGTTCAACTTTTCACAAAGTTGGTGTCTTGTTTGAAACCTTGATACGAGTTGGTGTACATACCTGCCCTGGGACTCAAACACCCTCGGTAAAACCTGGGGTCGAGTCGCTGCATTGGAACTGCGAGGCAATCGTGACATTTGACCCAAAAATCAATCTCTGGACTCAAGTCCAGGATCAAAAACCAGAAGCAGCAAAGTCATGGACTCGAACCTTGGACCAACCCCCCGACCAACTCATGGGCCTGGGCCAAGTCTGAGATGCCTCTCTCGTTCCTTGCACCGCAGTCTTCACTCACGCGTAAACCGGTTTAGGGTTTTTTTCGGTTTTGATTTGTTTTAAACTTGGGGCGTCTTGGCAACCGGCACGGCGTGGGGAGGAGACGAGGGCAGGGGAGGCTGTGATCACAATGTGTGTCTGTCTGCGTGTCTGTCTGTGTGTGTCTGTGTGTGTGTCTGTGTGTGTGTCTGTCTGTGTGTGTCTGTGTGTGTCTGTCTGTGTGTCTGTCTGTGTGTCTGTGTGTGTGTCTGTGGGGAGCGATAGTGTAGCGGTTAGCGTGCTGTGCTATGAACCTGGCGACCCGGGTTCGATTCCCGCTCACGGCCAACACCAGTGACGATTATCTGAACCGGTCCCGGGCCTCCCCTAGGTCGACTCAGCCTCGAATGAGTACCTAGTGCGGTGGATAAAAACATTGCCACTGGGGAGACAAAGGCGGTCGGGCGTGGTGCTGGCCACCCACCCCCTCGTGTACCGTTCCGGCCTTCATAGGTGCTCGCTAACAGCACTTGCCCCTACAGTCTGTTAAGGCTATACGGGGATCTTTGTCTTTTTTGTCTGTGTGTGTGTGTCTGTGGGGAGCGGTAGTGTAGCGGTTAGCGTGCTGTGCTATGAACTTGGTGACTCGGGATCGATTCCCGCTCACGGCCAACACCAGTGACGATTATATCTGAACCGGTCCTGGGCCTCCCCTAGGTCGACTCAGCCGCAAATAAGTACCTGGTGCGTTGTGTAAACATTGCCACTGGGGAGACAAAGGCGGTCGGGCGTGGTGCTGGCCACCTACCCCCTCGTGTGCCGTTCCGGCCTTCATAGGTGCTCGCTAACAGCACTTGCCCCATCAATCTGTTCAGGCTACACGGGGGATCTTTGTATGTTGTGGGGGTCGGTGTGGTGGTGGGGGGCGCAGTGGTTCACGCATTTCGCAACGAAGTTCGATTCCCACTCACGGTATGGACCTAGAATTTATTTCGCACCGCACGTAGCCAACCGCGTGAATCAGTGGCGTGTATCTAAACGATTATCTGGCGCGGTGTGGGAACATTCGCACAGGGGAGACAAATACGGCCGAGGCACGGTGCGTCCACACACTTCGTGAGCCCTTTCCCACCTTAATAGGTGCTCACAAACAACACTTGTGGAATGTTGACGCTCTGTCGTCCTCACTCAAGTTTAACCTGAACCCTGACTATAAGTTTTACTTTAAACCCTCGGTCTACCGATCACCCCGAGTCTAATTCTGTCACTCGGGGGAGAAACTTTAAACTCAACCCTGACCCCTGGCAGATCGATCCCCTTTGCACACCAAACCCCAGAGCTCTCCCGGATCCCCTCGCCACCCCCGGCAGGCCGATCCCCTCTCTAACCCCCACGGGCGGCCACGTCCTGCAAGCTAGAGGGGAGAGAGGAGGAGAGAGAGAGCGGAGCGGATGGGACGGTGTGTGGGGGGGTCACAAGAGTTAAAGACGGGAAGGGGGGGGGTCACCTGCTGTGGAGTCCGAGCGCTCCCTGAGGCCCCCCCCGGGGAGAGGCGAGGGGAGACGGAGGGCCCGAGACTCGCGGCGGGAGTGATGAGAGGGGTTGAGAGCGCGAGAGGACAAGGGGGGTGGATGGAAGCCGCCTCCGCTCCCGCTTCAGCTCCCGCGATTATCGATTCATCACCGGAGTCCCAACCGCCTCTCTACCCCCCCCCCCCTGTAACCCCTCCCCCCCCCTGTACCCCCTCCCCCCCCCGTAACCCCTCCCCCCCCCCGTAACCCCTCCCCCCCTGTAACCCCTCCCCCCACTGTAACCCCTCCCCCCCTGTAACCCCTCCCCCCCTGTAACCCCTCCCCCCTGTAACCCCTCCCCCCCGTAACCCCTCCTCCCCCCCTGTAACCCCTCCCCCCCCTGTAACCCCTCCCCCCCTGTAACCCCTCCCCCCCCTGTAACCCCTCCCCCCCTGTAACCCCTCCCCCCTGTAACCCCTCCCCCCCCTGTAACCCCTCCCCCCCCTGTAACCCCTCCCCCCCTGTAACCCCTCCCCCCACTGTAACCCCTCCCCCCCTGTAACCCCTCCCCCCTGTAACCCCTCCCCCCCGTAACCCCTCCTCCCCCCCTGTAACCCCTCCCCCCCCTGTAACCCCTCCCCCCCCTGTAACCCCTCCCCCCCCTATAACCCCTCCCCCCCTGTAACCCCTCCCCCCTGTAACCCCTCCCCCCCCTGTAACCCCTCCCCCCCCCTGTAACCCCTCCCCCCCTGTAACCCCTCCCCCTAACTCCCCAACCCCTCCCCCCTAACTCCTCCCCCCCTGACCCCTCCCCCCTAACCCCCCCAACTACCCCTCCCCCCCCAACCTTCCCCTTACCCCTCCCACCCCACACACACACAAAGATCCCCCGTGTAGCCTCCACAGACTGCCGTGGCAAGCGCTGTGAGTGAGTAGCAACCCACGAAAGGCCGGCACGGTGGCACACCCCCGACCGCCTTTGTCTCCCCAGTGGCGGTGTTTGCCGCACACCGCTACGCCAGGTACTCATGTCGAGGCCGAGTCGACCTAGGGGAGGCACAGGACCGGCTCAGATCATCGCCACCGGTGTTGGCCGTGGGCGGGAATCTAAATCGGGTCACGGGTCTCGTAGCGCAGCGTGGCGCTAACCACGACACTAACCCCCCACTAACCCCCCCTCCCCCCACTAACCCCCCACTAACCCCCCCTCCCCCCACTTTCTCCCGCCCCCTCCCAAATCCCCCCCACCACACGACCCCCGGTTCCGTTTCCGGTCGCCCCCCCCGAGGCTTGCTGTGCGTGGCCGTGCTTCGTGTCAGATGCATGGGGGGGCTCATCTCGGCCAGCCAGCACATGGCACCACCTGGGTCCCGAGACCGGTCAGCGGCGAGCCTTCGACACTTCGCCTGGTTCTCTCAAAGTGCACCTGGCCTGGCACAGGCGCCCTGGTTGACATCGCCGTCACTTCGTGGCGAACGGCGGGGTTGTTGGCTTGCCGCTTGCAGGGTGGTGCCCATTGCCCGGAACGGCCGCCTCTCTCATCACCATTTTCCCCTTTTTAAGGCCGCGCACAGACACAGACACACACAGACTGACACACACACAGACTGACACACACACAGACTGACAACAACCGCCATTCGCCACTAAGTGGCGGTGACGTCACCACGACGCTTGTGCCAGGCCATGTGCACCTTGAGGCCACGTGAAGTGTCGAACGCCCGCTGGCAGGTCAGGGGGCAGACCCAGGTGCCACGGGTCGACTGACTGAGATGACTGGCTGATGCACCACCTGTGCCCCCTACTGTGCCAACCTGCTGTGCTTTATCCACCCGGAGCTCCGCTCGTTGTTGTGAGCGTCGCTCCTCCGCCTTTCGTTGTTGTTGGAGGGCGACTGCCTCCAACTGCCCAGTAGCGTCCTTCACGAGCCTCCTCCACAGAGGCCGATCTTGACACCGCTGGTACCAGTCATCGGCAAGTTCACTCAGCTCCACGTCCTCCTGTACCACATCACTCCATCTCTTCTCTAGCCCGTGCCGCGCCCGCTTAGCCCCCTGGATCCGGCCGAACAAAAGCTGTTTCAGCATGCGGTGGCTGGGCATGCGGGCTACATGACCTAGCCAACGCAGCCTTGCCTGCCGGAGGAGCTCACCGATGGGACCTTGCACAGATCTTTCAAATATGTGAGCTCACACAATCCAGCCTGGTTAAACCCAGGATGGATCGTAGGCAGGCTAGCCTAAATGTTTCTAACTGGCGAAGATGTTCCATTAGGGGGGTCCACGTTTCGCAAGCGTAGAGAAGGGAGGGAATGACCGTGGCCGAGAAGACCTGAAACTTAGTGCGGAGCGACAGACCAGGTAGCTTCCACACAGCGTTACGCAACCGATGAAAAGACATTGCCGCTCGACTGATTCGGAGTGAGACCTCTGCTGTTAAACTGGAGCGGGTCATAAGCACACTGCCCAGGTATGGGAAACTCTCCACTCTCTCCACAACTGCCCCATCACCGATTGGGAGTTGTTGGGGTGGAGTGTCCAATGGTACAAAATACCCAGGTAGGTGCTTAGTTTTGGTAGGGCTGATGGTAAGGCCCCATCTCTTAGTGGCACGCTCCAGTCTCAGCAGCAGCAGCGTCTCCAACTCCTCCTCTGAATGAGCAGCTATTACCAAATCATCGGCATACGTAACGTGGTTGAGCAATAGAGAGCCATCCCTTGACTGCACCAGGGCATTGATCAGCCTCCCATTATATCTGTACCAAATGGAAATTCCCCCGGTACAGCTATTGAAGGCTTCACGAACTACGTGGTCAAAATAGATGTTAAATAATGTGGGAGCCAGAGGACATCCCTGTCGCACCCCAAGGTGTATAGAGAATGGCTCTGACTCCCGGCCACGTAGTTTTACCCGGGCCCGCTCACCATCATGAAGGTCCTTAATGATCGTGAGCAGAGGGTCAGGGACTCCAAAAGCACGAAGAACAACCCAGAGCCCAGGCCTACTGATGGTATCATAGGCCTTGACCAGGTCAACAAAGCAGAGATGTAGGTCTTGTTGGAATTCCCTACACCTCTGCTGTAGCAGACGGAGAGAAAATATGGCATCTGTGCAGGACCGCCTTTTCCTGAAACCGCATTGGGGCTCCGCAAGCCTCTCCTCGGCGTGCCTGGCAAAGCGATGTTGAATAATCCTTGCCAGGACCTTTCCCGGTACACTGAGGAGTGAGATGCCCCTGTAGTTGTTACAACAGACAGACACACACACTGACAGGCTGATGATGTTGTTGTGCACCACTGCCAAACACAGCAGCAGCAGATCCGTTTACGTGCAGAGATTTTTGCCGTTTGGGATGACCACGAGCTGCTCGGGCGTTGCCAGAGCAGAGGTTTGATTTTAAACCTTCAAACGCAGCCCGTGTGTTATATTTCCCTTTTGCCGTGAGGCTGTTGATCGGCGATGTGTTACGACTGTCAAGTGCACCGGGCGTCTCCCTTGAAATCGTGCGGTGGGGAGTTTAAAAACCTCTCGGATGTCAAATTCCACGTCAGAGCAGAGGGTCTACCGCTCTACGCGTTCAGATGGCATTGTCGAATACAATACTAGTCCCTTTGGATGGTGATGCAACCTTTGTCAAAGCAGAGGGGCTTACCTCTGAGATGTGGCAATGGTGAGTCTGTGTTTACAACACCTTGAGTGAGACATATCCTTTGCAATGAACCTGGCGACCTAAGTTCCACCCCCGGCTAGGGCCAACTTCAGTGGCGACTTTGATCTGAATCCACCCCCCACCCCACCACCAACCCTTGAGTCTTCGCCAAACTGCAATGACCAGTGCGGTGAGGAAACATGTATCCAGCAGTGGATTAGCACAGTTGCTTTACATGTACCATGCAACTTGCCTCCAGTGTGAAGCCCTTACCTGAAGATATACGTGGTGTCGTCATGAATTTTTACCTGCAGATGTCCCTTGCGCTGTCAGAAGCCTCTAAATCTGTTGGGTATTGCTGCCAGGCCAGAGGGTTTACCTCAAGTTTAAAACGTTCAAAGTGGATACATAAATTTTACGCGCTTAATTAGACAAATGTGAGATTCTTCAAGTTGTTTGATTTCGTTTTTAGCACAATTAGCAAAGGCCCCAGACGGCCAACAACACACACGAGGTTTGAAAAATGTCTTATTTTCTTGGCGGTGGTTGAATTGAACGAATTATTGCGTGTTATGTTAAAGTAACATTTCTTATTGTTAATGGGTTGTGTTTTTTATAAATATATATTTTTTCCTGAGGGTTTATTTTAATCCCCCTGATCTGCCAACGGTGAATGTACAGAGCCGGTAACGAATCACACAGTGGAAACAACTTGTCAATAAATAGTCAAATTGTTACATAAATTATCAATCCATAAATCATCATCTTCGTCATCATCATCATCAATATCATCATCAATATCATCATCATCATCAATCATCGTTAATGCCACTATGGTATTTATATGCCTAAAGGTGACCGCAATACACGTGTTCAATTTGTTATTTTTTACACCCGAAACGCATTAATAAGTAAATAAAATAAATTAACGATAAATAATCACGGCAAGAGTCTATAAATACATCAATAATTTAAAAAGTAGAAAAAATGGAATGTAAATCATAAATAGCGTGGTTAGCAGTGAGCGTGGGCTCCTCAAGCCCGCGGGCTGCGTCTCTCCCCGCTAGGCGTTGGCCATTGTGAACCCGGGGTCCCCACAGACCCCCACAGACCCCCATAGACCCCCATCCCACCCCTGACGTGGAGAGCCGAGCCGTAAAGCCAAGAAAGCCCAAGTTAAACCCCGGGGCGCGGCGCACGGAGCCGGATTTTGCGCGGGAAAAATTAGACGGGACAGGAGGGGGGGGGGGGCGGTTGGCCCCCTCTGAGGGGGACCTCGGAGGGCCATAGTGGCGGAGGGGGCACAGGGGGTTCCCCAACACCCCCCCGCCCCGCCCCGTCACCCCTAGCTGCCGCCCCCCTCAAGGGAAGCCCCGTAATTGTGATATGTAAATGAGCGCCCCGGACTATGATATGCGTATCCTCGCTTGAGCCCCGGGGCAGTGGCGTAGCTATCGAGTGTGCAGGCAGTGCAACTGCGCCGGGGCCCAGGCGCTGGGTTGCAGAGGGGAGGGGGGGGTACATTGGACTAGGGGCAAGCCTCCACTTCATCCTTTGCACCGGGGCCCATGCCAACCACGCTACACCACTGGCCCCAGGCGGCTACACCCACGGTTGCCACCCCAGAGTTGCCACTCCGTGGCCGCCCCACCTCGGTGGGTCTGACACTTTTGGAATTTGGTGCTCGGTGTCAGCCACTGGTGAACGTCTGATTTCCTGCCAGGACCAAGCAGACGATGGCAACCGGGGCTGCACGGACAACGACCGCCCCGAACCCCTCAACGCCTCGACCTGGTGAGCAATGGCGAATGCTGCGATTGGCGGGAATGGGAAAACAAAACGGTGGCGGCAACTGCCGACCCCCCGTGGCCGGTGGCCTCAGAGGGCGGCAGTTGCTCGTGTAAATTATGATCGGCCAATGTGACTGCACGGGGCGACGGCCACACGTTATTGGTCACAGCCTGAGAGGGAATGGTGAGGGGGCACCGAGATGGTGTTGAGAACAAGATGGAGGCGGGGGAACAAAGATGGCAGCGATTGTTTCCATGGACCGCCAAATCGAGGTGTGCGCTCGAGTTGGCAAATATTTCTCTCACAACTCGAGTTGATGAAAATACTTGATTTGGTCATTTTTTTTATGATACTCAGAGTTACTCCCATCATCAGACTTTCTAAAAAATACTTGCAAGTATAAGATTCAGACTGCATTGCCGACAATTAAACGTGAAATTATACAAAATTAAATGTTCCTATTCTTGGTTCTTTCGGTAAAGTCACGTAGAAGGGAAACAATAAAATAATAAAAATATAAAACAGTAAAATTCTCACGACGTTTCGACTGCAACACAAGCAGTCATCATCAGGTGTGAAAACCACAACAAGAAAATAAAAAAGTGGCGGTTTTTTTAAGGTTAGCACCACGGATAGCGATTTGACAGTTATTCAGATGGACGAGTCAATCTATGTTCGGAAAAAAGGAGGGGGGAGACGAAAATAATGGATGCGGTCTGAAAGCCACCTTTAGCGTGATCAATCAATTAAGATCCGAAATGGTTTATCAAATCCTTCCATTGTTTCCCTTCTACGTGACTTTACCGAAAGAACCAAGAATATGAATCCCTGCAGTCACGAAAGCTTTAAATCAAAATTTAAATGTTCCTGCCACCTATATTTCCCTGTAAAATGTTTGGTGGTCTCTTTTCGCTCGACCCGAATTCCGACTAAGGGAATTCTTGCCAGCCCCGTGAAGCGAATTCAGCCGAGAGAATTTGGCTTTCAGCCCAAAATGGTGGCCAAGACGTGCCGACTGAAAACGTGGAAATGCAGCGCCACCCAGTAAGCACGCAACGTCGGGCCAACCTTGCCACGTGGAATGGAACCGTTGGACCAACGTCGACCCAACTGGACAGGGCGCGACTCAAGTACGTGCTCATTTGACGGTAGGATTACCGTTCGGGTTCATGGAAACGTGGTACAAAATGGCGTCGAGTATCAAGAGATGGCAAACAGAACCAAGGTGGCAGAGGACATGGGCTATGTTGGTGATAGCATCCGGCACTTACAAGATGGCAGCCGACACAAAATGGTCATGTGCACCGAATTCACCGGGTGGGGTCTGACGAGGAGGGGTGGGAGAGGGGGCGGTCCTTGCCACGGGCGACCAACAGTGGCTCGCTAATAGGTAGTCGTATTAGTCAAAAAACGGGTGATTGTACGATCATGTGACATTCGTCCATCGCCATGGCAACCGATAGTGAGCACCTGAGCAACCACGAGTCGTCATGGCAGCGGCGCTTAACTACTGTCGTCTACACTACACGCGGAGCAACCCCACAGGTGGAATGTCATCAGTAAAGTCTACCTACACCCTCATTATAACAGCTTATCTCTTAATCTCTAAAGTCTAAAAAATAAATACGTAAAAGTTTTTCACTATATTTTTTTTTCAATTATAATCTTTTTTTTTTCACTTGGACCCATATTTCTTTTCTAGATCAGAGGTTTTTTTTTCCTTCAGCTCGTTAAATCGACAGCTCGCGCTCGTCATTAAACAGTACAGACATCTCCCCACCAACCCCTAAAACTTCTAAAATATCTACTTTTTTAATTAAGCTTAATTCTCTTTTTTTGTGTTTTTTACAACTATGTGTAATATGTTTTGCGACGAGGAAATACACAAAGTAAGGAAGTTAGGCAAAGAGTGAAGGATCAGTCGCAAAATAATCTCTCCATAGAAAAGGGTTCGTTTGGTCCCACGGTGGGGGTGGGCAGGGGAGACGCGGGGGGGGGGGGGCAGGGAGGAGACGAGGGAAGGCGAGGGGACGGGGCCAAAGGGAGACGCGGGGGGAAGCAGGAGGGGAGAAGGGAGAGCTGGCGGCGGGAAATGACGTTTGCGTTAAGAGCCTCAAGGCAGATCGGTTGTCCCTTTTATCCTGGTGTCCTGGGCGCTTGGGTGCACGGAAACACCAGATCCCCGTCTCTCGCCCAGGTCCCCGTGCTCCTAGGGCAGTCCGATCGTGACCCAGGTGTGGCAGGCAGGTAGACAAAACACAACCCACAGTTGCAATGTGTGAATTGTACTTGGCAGTTGGTCCGGCAGGCTGGGGAGCTGGGATGGTGCCGTCTGGCGCGGCAACACGAGGCCCCACGCCGGCCTGAGCCGGCCTGGAGCGTGTGGCTCGGCGGGGCGGGTGATGCGGCCGGGCCCACTTCACGAGGCCCGGCCTGGTTCGGAAGGCTGGCTTGGCCCATCACGGCCGACTTTTAAGCCCGATTCGCTCGGTAATCGCACCCCCCCCAACCCTCCCCCCTCCCACCCTCCCATACCCCCCCCCCCCCGGACCACCGCCACCACCTCGCCAAGGCCGAAGAGGCCAGACCGGGCCTGCGTCGGCCGACGCGGTGTGGCGGCGATCAGTAGGGGCGGCTCGCGTCCTTGGGCCGTTTGAGCTGCACCTTGAGCCGCTTGGTGCCGACCTGGAAGCCGTTCATGGCCTGGATCGCGGCCTGCGCCGAGCCAGCGTTGTCAAAACTCACAAAACCTAGCGGGGCGGGAGGGGGACGGCACACAGCACCGGACATGTGACTCTGCGCGTAACGATTCACCCCGCTGCCTGTGCCCCCCGCCCTGAACCTTGGATTATGACCCCGGTGTGAGGGGTCAGGAGTGAGAGCCATGGGGTATGAGCCTGGTGTCACAGGAGTGAGGGATGAGCCGTACCGAAGCACTTGCTCTGGTTGGTAGCTCGGTCCACAAACACCTTGGAGGAGATGACGTTCCCGAAAGCGGCGAACATCTGCGTGAGCTCCACGTCCCCGAGCTCCTGCGGCAGGTGGTAGATGAAGAGGTTACATCCCTCGGGGCCTGGGGGGCGGGGGTCAGGGGTCAGGGTCAGGGGTTGAGGTCGGGGAGTGGGGGGCAGGTAGGAGGGGAGGAGTAGGAGTTTGGTGGGGGGGGGGAGGAGGAGGGAGAGGTGACAGACCGTTAACCGTTAACGCCCGTGCGACCTGGCGTGAGGTTTAAACGCAGGGTACTGTGTGCGTGTGTGCGTGCGTATGTATGTATGTATGCACGTGCATGCGTGTGCGCATGCGTGTGTGTGCGTATTCTGCACGGCTGTGTTGGTCGACGGCAGTGCTTAATTTCAGCCGGGTCTGTACGGGCCACGACCCAGGGAAATCCTTATGCACCCGGGGCACCACATCCAGTGTACATCCCACAATGGCTGTGGCTACCACTGTTCACGTGCCGCCTAACCCCCGGTCTGACCGAGCGACGCGTTAAACAGTGAGCGACAAATGAGGCCCCGGTCAACCACGACGGCCGTGCAGATCGACGGGACGCTGCGTCGCACTCGCACGCACCCTCACCCTCGCGCTGGTGCAGCACCATCGGCTGCGGCGGCGGCACCATCTGTCCCACGGGGGTGTACGCGGCCGGGTACGCCGCTGCTCACCGCACGCACAAACGCAGAGCAAGCGCCCGTCGCGCCGCGGTCACGTGCCGCCGTAAAGTTGGCGAGGCCGAGATGTGCGGGCAGGGTGGCGCGAGTGAGTCGAGCGGTGGCGCTGCGATTCCGTTTGATGAGTGGTGCTGGAGTGATGAGGTTTGATGAGGTGTGTTGAGCTGGTGCTGGTGTGATGAGGTGTCAGGAATGGCGCTGGAGTGAAGATGAGGTGTGTTGAGTGTTGTTTTAGTGACGAGGTGTGATGAGGATTACCCGTGTATTGGTGCATCCCCGCGTACGCCTGCTGCATAGGGTCCGAATTACTTGGACTGGAGACTACGCGCACACACGCGCACGCATATATAAACACACGTAAATATAAATATGTAAACACACATAACCACCAGTAAACACACATATGCATAAACACGTACACACATGCACACACAAACACGCTCGCGGATATATGTGCTTGCATATACACACGCATGTCAAAGACAAAGATCACCCATATAGCTTGAACGGACTGTTGGGCCAAGTGCTGTTAGCGAGTAGCACCTATGAAGGCCGGCACGGTACACGAGGGGGTGGGTGGCCAGCACCACGCCCGGCCGCCTTTGTCTCCCCAGTGGCGATGTTTTTACGCACCGCACCAGGTACTCATTTGAGGCTGAGTCGACCTAGGGGAGGCCCAGAACCGGTTCAGATAATCGTCACTGGTGTCGGTGTCCGTGAGCGGGAATCGAACTCGGGTCACCAGGTTTCACCACCGCTGTCTGGGCGCATGTCACCGTGCGGGGGAGGGTGTTACCTGGGTAGGGGTGGTATCCATTGGGGTACACGTGCTCCCCCACCACCTGCCCGCTGGACGGAGGGGGGAGGGGCAGGGCGAACCCGTTGACCCCCATAGGGGTCGGGAGAGGAGGGGCTGGGGGGGCTGCCATGGCTGGGGGGGAGCTGCCTCCTGCATGGGGTGGGGGATGAAACAGGGTTAAAGGGGCGACGTCGGCCTTCATCGTTCAGTCATTAGCGGGGATGGTCATGCAGGCAGCTGCAACGTGCAGGTGTGAGCCGCGCAGGTGGACGTGTGCAGACGCCGTGCTGCGCGTGCTGTGCATGCTGTGCGTGCTGTGCGGGTGTCGCTCGCCGGCGTGCCGCTCCTTGTCGTGTAGGTGCCAAGCATGCCTCCAGGGGACGCTGTGCAGGTGCGTGCTGTACGCCACGTGGGTGCGCCTTGCAAGCGCGTCATGCGGGTGCGAGTCAGGCGAGCGCCGTGCAGCTGTGAAAGTGTGCCGTGCGGGCGTGCGTGCCGTGCGGATTACGCGCTGGTGCCACGCTCGTTGACGCTAACCGGGCGACGGCGTCAGGGCGCTGGTGCCCAGGATGTTGAGGCCCAGGCTGGCGCCGTGCTGCATGTGCGCGGGCACCGGCGCGGGCACGAACGCCACTGGCGTCACGTACGCCCCGTGCGCCAGCGCCGACATCAACGCCGCCTGCTGGTGCATCAACTACGCACGAGACAAAGACAAAGATCCCCCGTGTAGCCTTTAACAGACTGCAGGAGCAAGTGCTGTTAGCGAGCACCTGTGAAGGCCGGCACGGCACACGCGGGGGTGGGTGGCGAAGACCACGCCCGGCCGCCTTTGTCTCCCCAGTTGCGATGTTTACGCACCGCACCAGGTAATGATTTGAGACCGAGTCGACCTAGGGGAGGCCCAGGACCGGTTTGCATATGTGCAGCTGGCCGTCCTCACTCCGCCTCCATGACCCCCACCACCGGCGCGAAGACGGTAGCCGCGGCAGCGGCATCATCGCTAACGCCCAACCTCCGCCGATTGACACCGGCCAACGTCGCTCCAACGTTGTGGCATGTGGTTAGAACCGCTGGACCAACTATTGGCCAAATTCTTCTTTGGTTCTTTCGGTAAAGTCACGTAGAATGAGAATAAAATAATAAATTGATAAAATAAAATAACACAAAAATATTCACACGACGTTTCGGCCACAACACAAGCGGCCTTCATCAGGTGAAGGGACGAGACTGTCTGGAGGACAGCGCTGGAGTGAAAGAGCCACGTTCAGAACGTGGCCGAAACGTCGTGAGAATATTATTGTGTTATTTTATTTTATCAATGTATTATTTTATTCTCATTCTACGTGACTTTACCGAAAGAACCAAAGAAGATTAATCATTGCAGTCACGAAAGCTTTAAATCGAAATGTATTGGCCCAATGTTCCACGTTTACTGGGAAGCCCTCGACTTCCAGAGGCAAGCAGGGGCCGCCGAACCGGAGCCCGCGGCCCGAGCGCGGCTCGATGGAGACGTCGATGGTCTCCGTGACCTTTCGAGAGAGATCCGATTTGAAACGGGAAACAAAATCTGCTGGACCAGGAGCAGTGCGGGGTGGGTGGGGGGTGAGGAGGTACTCGCCCCCTGCATGAGTACTCCCAGGGCGCTCCCATAGATTTCACAACTCTGCTGCCCACCGACGTGGGCGATAGGGTCACGTGACCCCTTGTGGTCGACCGCCCCCCACGAGTCTTGTGAACGCTGTCGGCCATACAAAGGTTTCGGTTTTGCGGCTCGTAGGGTCGAAAAGCGTGGCCAGCGCTGACGCGAACCACACGAGCGAGGGCCAGAGATGTCGCGCCAGGATCCAACCCCAGGCCGGTGCTCGCTCGAGAAGGGATTCTCGAATGAAGGAGCCGTCCTGCCGGGTTCTCGCGTACGGGGTTGGCATGGCTCACTGGGGGTGTGGCTCACTGAGGGGCATGGCTCACTGAGGGGCGTGGCTCACTGAGGGGCGTGGCTCACTGGGGGTGTGGCTCACTGAGAGGCATGGCTCACTGGGGGTGTGGCTCACTGGGGGTGTGGCTCACTGGGGGTGTGGCTCACTGAGGGGCGTGGCTCACGAGGCGTTACTCACTAGGGGCGTGACTGGCTCATGGCATGGCTCACTGGGGGCGTGACTCACTCATGGCATGGCTCACTGAGGGGCGTGGCTCGCTGAGGGGCGTGGCTCACGAGGCGTTACTCACTGGGTGCATGGCTCACTGAGGGGCGTGGCTCACTGAGGGGCGTGGCCCACGAGGCGTTACTCACTGGGGGCGTGACTCGCTCATGGCATGGCTCACTGAGGGGCGTGGCTCACTGAGGGGCGTGGCTCACTGAGGGGCGTGGCCCACGAGGCGTTACTCACTGGGGGCGTGACTCGCTCATGGCATGGCTCACTGAGGGGCGTGGCTCGCACGTACCACACACTGCACACACACACACACACGTATGCATGTACACACACACACACATGCACAGGCACATACCGCCTGCGTGTACGCGGCGTAGGGGGACAGGTGCACGGCGACGGGCGCCAGCATGCCCACCTGCCCGGCCACCTGCTGCATGCGCCGCACCGTGCGCTCGCGCTCCGAGTCGGCAAACTTAACCACCAGGCTCGAGGAGGCGCCCTGCGGAGCGAGAGAATGCGCCGGGGCGCAGTGGCACAACGCGCAACATCGTCACCACCGTCACCAGAAACACCCCCGGGGGTCATCATCTGCATTGTCGGGGTCATCATCGTCAACTTAAGGTGCGTTTGCGATTTTTGGATGAGTTCTGAAATTAAATTTGTTGTGCAACTGAAGGAGGACTATTTCCCGAAACGTCACCCGTCACAAATCTATTTGTAGGGCCACACACGCGCACGGTGCCACTGACGAATGCGTTGAGGTTTCTCTTTGTCCGCTGTGCTTGTGTGCACTGCCGCAGTAGCGCCGGATGATTTCGAAAAGTCCCAAAAATATTGGGTCTTGATATGAAATTTGCGGAACGATCCGAAAATGCGGCATCGCGGTGAGTGGCACCACTCCGGAGCATTTTACGCCAATCGGGCCGCTGTTATAATGAGGCATCATCCGAACCTGGAATAAATCTGTTTCCTTCTTCAGCACCTCGCTCACGCGTACTGCATAGTCAGACGTGATCGCACTCGCCACGATCTCAAACCTGTCAACCAATATGGGTTTGTTTAACACGTAGGATTTCGCGACCAATATCATCCATAATGTAGGTTTTTTGGGTTAGATGGCATCAGATCTAACCATAAAAACCTATACTATGGACAATACGGGTTACCCCGTATTCTTGTACAGGGAAATTTAGTTTTCAGGTCCATACGGCATACAGCCGTGTCAATACGGGCAAAATCTAGGTTTTTTTTGGTCTATTTGTGTTTCTCCCTTGTGATGGGACTTTGTAGGATGAACGTTGAGCTATATCAGGGCACGGGGTGACCAATAAGGCTGAATTTATTAGTAATAATTAGTAATAAGGTACTGATAAGGGGTTGACAGGCATGCGATGTCACAGTAACACTCTTTAATTGTGGGATTACAGCCCTCAGCAGCACCACCTCATGGCTCTGCCCACACTGCCCCAAAAATAACGGTGGGAAAAACGTAGCTCAGTTATTAGGAACCTGTAGTAGTACATAAGCTGTGTTGTTATTAAGAACCTGTAGTATATGAACTGTGTTGTTATTAAGAACCTGTAGTAGTATATGAGCTGTGTTGTTATTAAGAACCTGTAGTAGTATATGAACTGTGTTGTTATTAAGAACCTGTAGTAGTATATGAGCTGTGTTGTTATTAAGAACCTGTAGTAGTATATGAACTGTGTTGTTGTTATTAAGAACCTGTAGTAGTACAGTGAGGGAAAAAAGTATTTGATCCCCTGCTGATTTTGTACGTTTGCCCACTGACAAAGAAATGATCAGTCTATAATTTAATGGTAGGTTTATTTGAACAGTGAGAGACAGAATAACAACAACAAAAATCCAGAAAAATGCATCTCAAAAATGTTATAAATTGATTTGCATTTTAATGAGGGAAATAAGTATTTGACCCCTCTGCAAAACATGACTTAGTATTTCGTGGCAAAACCCTTGCTGGAAATCACAGAGGTCAGACGTTTCTTGTAGTTGGCCACCAGGTTGGCACACATCTCAGGAGGGATTTTGTCCCACTCCCCTTTGCAGATCTTCTCAAAGTCATGAAGGTTTCGAGGCTGACGTTTGGCAACTCAAACCTTCAGCTCCCTCCACAGATTTTCTATGGGATTAAGGTCTAGAGACTGGCTAGGCCACTCCAGGACCTTAATGTGCTTCTTCTTGAGCCACTCCTTTGTTGCCTTGGCCGTGTGTTTTGGGTCATTGTCATGCTGGAATACCCATCCACGACCCATTTTCAATGCCCTGGCTGAGGGAAGGAGGTTCTTACCCAAGATTTGACGGTACATGGCCCCGTCCATCGTCCCTTTGATGCGGTGAAGTTGTCCAGTCCCCTTAGCAGAAAAACACCCCCAAAGCATAATGTTTCCACCTCCATGTTTGACGGTGGGGATCGTGTTCTTGGGGTCATAAGCAGCATTCCTCCTCCTCCAAACATGGCGAGTTGAGTTGATGCCAAAGAGCTCCATTTTGGTCTCATCTGACCACAACACTTTCACCCAGTTGTCCTCTGAATCATTCAGATGTTCATTGGCAAACTTCAGACGGGCATGTATATGTGCTTTCTTGAGCAGGGGGACCTTGCAGGCGCTGTAGGATTTCAGTCCTTCACGGCGTAGTGTGTTACCAATTGTTTTCTTAGTGACTATGGTCCCAGCTGCCTTGAGATCATTGACAAGATCCTTTCGTGTAGTTCTGGGCTGATTCCTCACCGTTCTCATGATCATTGCAACTCCACGAGGTTGAGATCTTGCATGGAGCCCCAGGTCGAGGGAGATTGACAATTATTTTGTGTTTCTTCTATTTGCGAATAATCGCACCAACTGTTGTCACCTTCTCACCAAGCTGCTTGGCAATGGTCTTGTAGCCCATTCCAGCCTTGTGTAGGTCTACAATCTTGTCCCTGACATCCTTGGAGTGCTCTTTGGTCTTGACCATGGTGGAGAGTTTGTAACAATCTGATTGATTGATTGCTTCTGTGGACAGGTGTCATTTATACAGGTAACAAGCTGAGATTAGGAGCACTCCCTTTAAGAGTGTGCTCCTAAACTCAGCTCGTTACCTGTATAAAAGACACCTGGGAGCCAGAAATCTTTCTGATTGAGAGGGGGCAAATACTTATTTCCCTCATTAAAATGCAAATCAATTTATAACATTTTTTACATGCGTTTTTCTGGATTTTTTTGTTGTTATTCTGTCTCTCACTGTTCAAATAAACCTACCATTAAAATTATAGACTGATCATTTCTTTGTCAGTGGGCAAACGTACAAAATCAGCAGGGGATCAAATACTTTTTCCCTCACTGTATATGAGCTGTGTTGTTATTAGGAACCTGTAGTAGTATATGAACTGTGTTGTTATTAGGAACCTGTAGTAGTTTATGAACTGTGTTGTTGTTATTAGGAACCTGTAGTAGTATATGAACTGTGTTGTTGTTTTAAGAATCTGTAGTAGTATATGAACTGTGTTGTTGTTATTAAGAACCTGTAGTAGTATATGAGCTGTTTTGTTGTTATTAAGAACCTGTAGTAGTTTATGAGCTGTGTTGTTGTTATTAGGAACCTGTAGTAGTATATGAGCTGTGTTGTTATTAGGAATCTGTAGTAGTATATGAACTGTGTTGTTGTTATTAGGAACCTGTAGTAGTTTATGAACTGTGTTGTTGTTATTAGTAACCTGTAGTAGTATATGAGCTGTGTTGTTATTAAGAACCTGTAGTAGTATATGAGCTGTGTTGTTATTAAGAACCTGTAGTAGAATATGAACTGTGTTGTTGTTATTAGTAACCTGTAGTAGTTTATGAGCTGTGTTGTTGCTACATCATGGGACCTTCTTTGCCAGTCTCAAACCGTTTGAGACGAGGCTCAAAATAAAGCTGTCTCTGGTGTGGACCAATCAGTTTCACAGACAATGCATATACTATCAGAGTATGTTTTTTGTTTGATTTCTGACCACAAGTATTGTGGTTAATGCACACATGATTCCTCGTAAGAGGTTTCAGTTTGGTGTTTTAACATCTTAACACAGCTGTTTTGTTGCCAGAAAATAGGAGGAAACCTATTTCTCAACTGTATTGCTATTAGGAACCTGTAGTATATGAGCTCTGTTGCATGATGAAAGCATTAGCACAGAGGCGGACCTAGAAGCTTGCCAGTGAAAGGGGGGGGAGATCCCGAAATTTCTAGCTTTTAATAAACAAAATCAAAGACACTCAACGTGTTTTCCCTGGTAACTATTAATAATAAAATACCAATTAAATGTTCAAGGTCTCTTGGGGGGAAGGGGGTGAATTCCACTATCACCTCCTCCCCTTTAGATCTACCACTGCATGAGCAACATCACCACTAGCACCATCATCACTACCATCATCACCACCACAACCACCACATCAGCTGGCGAGGAAACCAGCCACCCTGCACAGGGAGAGGCAACCCCGAGTCTCATTTTCCGACAACAGCTTCCAGCGAAATTCACACCTCGACAAATCCAAAGGGAAGCACTTTGGGCAACTGCGAACATTCCGGGAGGAGATCCGGCTGTGAAATTTGAGATGGCCGTCGAGTGAGCAGCCACCGAATCCCACAGGGCTCGTGGTGGCAAATACGAAACGGAGACGCGACTCTGAGAAACAAGTCCCTGCGTGCCGCAGTCACCCGGCACACACCACTTCCATCGTGCCTTTCGCTATTGTGCCTATGGCTGGCTTACTCGTCACGTGCCACCCACTCCAGTCAGTCTACCCGTGCAACCTGGAAAATATTTAGTGAGAAATTCATCCCTGATGATATACGTCAGTCGGTGGGTCCTGTGTTAGCCTATGGATGTTACTTTTGTCTATACGGGTATTATTTTAGTTTATGCGTCCTATGCTAGTCTGTGGATACGTTGTGGTGCTTAATTTCAGCTGGGTCTGTACTGGTCAGCAACCTGGAAAATATTTCCACACCTGGCACACCACATCCAGTATACCTATCGCTACGGCTGTGGTTACTACGAATAAATAATCACCTGTTTGCCCCAATGCACAGCCACCCAGAAATGATTAAGCAGGAAATTAAGCCTTTAATTGCGCGCTGCCAGCGAGCTACGGAACACGCCACCAAAACAAATTTAACGAAGCTCTGGCCATCGTCCAGTCCTGCCTTAGGGTCATCATTAAGAAGCCGGCCCGTTGTAAAGGTCACGTGACCTGGAGGAGGCCATTTTGGGGTGAATGTGATGAGATGGTGAAGACACGCATGGCAGAACACGCAAAACTTTATATTTTGTGTGTTTTTTATTTCACCGGGATTTTATTTGCTTGGGTCGACTTTATCATATATCTAGGCACGTTCAGCTTGGCTAGATGACGCCGGCTGGCATTTATTATAGTGTTGTTATCTTGCTTTGGTAGCGGTTTATTGTGTTTGCGCTGTCGACTGTTGCTCGCTCGCCGATCACATAAAAAATATATTTTGTGGCGCTCAGAAAAAGCCATTGCAGATTTTTAATGCTTGATAAAAAAAAACGATTATCGTAAAAAAAACTCAGTTTTAAATCGGTGCGTAGCACTCGCAGCAACCGATACCACGAACGGCAAATTTAAACAGGGACTCAAAAGTGCGCAAAACATTCGCGGTGAGGCGAATGTTTGGGATCATCAGAGAGAGAAATGGGAAGGCCCGGATCGGAGAGAAAAACGCGAGTCGGGGACGCAGTGTTGACTGTCGAGAAAGGTGAGCAGGGGGGCTTGGGGCAGGGCGCATCGTGGCTTGGAGGGGACGATGGCCGATGGCCCGAGGGGCTGTCGACGTGAATGGCAGCAAAGGGGAGGGAACATTCCAGCTGAGGACGCCCACAGCGGAGATGGAGCGGTGAGATTGGCACGGGCGCAGCAGCGGCGGCGGCTTGACGCATCGCGGTGTCGCGGGAATGTGACAGACGGTTGCCACGTGGTGAGGCCTACGTGCAGCAGTGGATTGACCATGGACGACGATGATTGGGTGAGCTGGGTATCTGCTACTGCTGTGATCTTCCACAATTTTAGTCACTTGACTTTCATTTGAATGCAAAACTGGGTTCTGAATATTCTTGACAACGGTTTCAAGCCAAATTTCGCTGGTAAATTTAGGTGTGAGAATTACTCTATAACCCATCCACTGTGAGTGAGTGGATGAGTTGTAGAGTGAATGGGTGAGTGATTGGATGAGCGAGTGAGTGAGTGGATGAGTGAGTGACTGATCAAGTGAGCTGAAACGATAGTGATGGACGCGAGGTCAAGCGCTTGTGTACCACGTGACAATTTAATTTCGTTGCGCCGGGTGGTGGGGAGTTTCACGACATAAACTTAGCCAGATCATTATATACGTGGCCTAATGCAAATATGAATCGTATATTATATTGTCTTAATTTTAAATATGACCTTTTTATCATGGACGATATTGTCTTTGTTACGTGAATCTCAATGTCTTGTATGTTGGTAGTGTTAGCGTCCAACAGTCGTGTCAATTTTATTTTTTTATGGAGAGTGCTCCGAGACACCTGAAGTGACGTAAAGCACGATTCACTGGACAGACCCCCAGCAACCTGCACCCTGCACTAGGCACTCTGCACCCAGGATACCAGTACCCAGCACCCTGCACCCAGCACTCTGCACCCAGGATACCAGTACCCAGCACCCTGCACCCAGCACTCTGCACCCATGATACCAGTGCCCAGAACCCTGCACCCAGCACCCTGCACCCAGGATACCAGTACCCAGCACCCTGCACCCAGCACTCTGCACCCAGGATACCAGTGCCCAGCACCCTGCACACAGCACCCTGCACCCAGGATACCAGTACCCAGCACCCTGCACACAGCACTCTGCACCCAGGATACCAGTACCCAGCACCCTGCACCCAGCACTCTGCACCCAGGATACCAGTACCCAGCACCCTGCACCCAGCACTCTGCACCCAGGATACCAGTACCCAGCACCCTGCACCCAGCACTCTGCACCCAGGATACCAGTACCCAGCACCCTGCACCCAGCACCCTGCACCCAGGATACCAGTACCCAGCACCCTGCACACAGCACTCTGCACCCAGGATACCAGTACCCAGCACCCTGCACCCAGCACTCTGCACCCAGGATACCAGTACACAGCACCCTGCACCCAGCACCCTGCACCCAGGATACCAGTACCCAGCACCCTGCACCCAGCACCCTGCACCCAGGATACCAGTACCCAGCACCCTGCACACAGCACTCTGCACCCAGGATACCAGTACCCAGCACCCTGCACCCAGCACTCTGCACCCAGGATACCAGTACCCAGCACCCTGCACCCAGCACCCTGCACCCAGGATACCAGTGCCCAGCACCCTGCACACAGCACTCTGCACCCAGGATACCAGTACCCAGCACCCTGCACCCAGCACCCTGCACCCAGGATACCAGTACCCAGCACCCTGCACCCAGCACCCTGCACCCAGGATACCAGTACCCAGAACCCTGCACACAGCACTCTGCACCCAGGATACCAGTACCCAGCACCCTGCACCGATGCCCTTTGCTGCCGCTCACCGGCAGGGTGGTGCTGCCGTGCAGGGCGGTGATTGCCGATTGGGCCTCGGCGTGCGAAGAGAACTTCACAAATGCACATCCTGGCATCACACGGTGGGGGGGGGGGGTTAGAGCAGAGGGGGTTAAAATGTACAACACAGGCGTCAGAATGACAGAATATGCCACCCAGCCAGAATATTTGTTCTCCCAGCCAGAATATTTGTTCTCCCAGCCAGAAGCGTGGCACGGTTGGCATGTCCGGCACGGGCCCTGGTGCGATGAATTCACTGGCGGTTGCACTGCTCAATTCCGCCCCAATCGTCGCCTGGCACCCCGGGCGCTTTGGCCCCGGTGCGGCTGCACCGTCTGCACGCTCGACAGCGACCGTACCCTTGCTGGCGCCGTCCGGTCCGCGCAGCACCGTGCACTCCTCCATGTTGCCGAACGGCTGGAAGAGCCGTGCCACGTCCTCCTCGGTCTGCTGTTTTCCCAGCATGCCCACGAACAGCTTCCTGTCTGCTGGGGACCGGGGGCAGCAGGGGGGGGGGGCAGCAGGGGCAAGTGGGGGGCGGTGGGGGGCGGTGGGGGGCGGTGGGGGGTTGCGCGCACGCGTGCGCCCGTGTCACTCACTGCGCGCCGACGCTCCGGTTGCCGTTAGCGACGGTCGCCCACGGCAACCGGAGATGTTCAGAGCTGGCAATTGTCGTAAGATTTGAGTGAATTTGAGTGATTACGTTCAGTCAAAGCCATGAGCGACAAGTCGAGTGACCTTCTGGTATGAGAACATGATACAGATTTAGTTTAATACCTGGTAAATTGTGGAGTGCCATGATTTCAGGTCTGTATTTAGTGTAATCTCTATATCTAAACCAGCTCAAGCATCCCATAAATCACGTGATTCGGAACCCCTGCCCTGTCTACGCCACCCTCTGTCAAAACAGACGCCGCTCCACGGCGCAACAGAATCGAGGCCCTGATGCATCCTCTTCCTCCCGATCCTCATCTCTCCTGACCCTCTGCTCCTATTTCTCCGCTCCTTTTCCATCCTTTTCCTCTAATTTTCCATTTCTTCTTTTTTCCCCCCCACGCATTACATCCTTGGCTCCGCTTCCCTTCCCGCGGTGCGCCACGGCTGCATAGTTGCGAGTAATATTAATTTAAACTTGTACCCGCTCTCTCTTCAAGAGAGGGAGAGAACCTTCTGAAGAGGTATGATGAACCACAGACAAGCTGGAGCGCAGCCAGGATCCACTGCCAACAATTTCCCAAGCTCTGCGGTCCTTTATTTATTAAAATATGTTCAGCCAATTGATTAGCGTTCATGCACGCGAGAGGAAAACCGGAGCACCTGGAGAAACCCCCCGAGTGTGAGGGGGAAACACTCGGTACCATACAGATGGAACAGGATCACATTTTTCTGTACCGCCTTCTCCTAGCGAGCCAGGGTACGGCTCCTCACGGCATCTGTGTGCGATCCACCACCCCTCGCCACTGCCTCCGCAATGCTGGATCACAGGCAACGTGCAGCGTAGCCAACGCTGCCTGGCTATTGAGGATCCTGCATCGGTTTGCTCCGTGAAATTTTTCTTCTCCGCAAAGTAATCTCCTTCTCACGTGAGCATCGAGCCAATGGCGCTCGCCCCCCAATTGCAGCCCTGCAGATCCTGCGGTGGGAATTTGACATTATTTGTATGGCGAGGGCGAGTCTGTCCATGGGACAACCATTTGTTGACTTCTCCACAAAGGGGAAATAATTTTATTGAGGGGCTGCGGGAAATGTCGGGTACCCTCGTGACGTTCTGCTTTAAGTAGTTTGCAGAATGTGACACCCGCAGTCACCCTCCCACCCCGTCCCACCCCTCACCCAATGGATTACCCAGCATGCCCTGCAGGTAGCTTGTTGCAGGCAGGTCATGGGGATGGTGGGGGGTGAGGGGAAGTGGATGGGGGGAGTGGGGGCGGAGTGGGGGGTGGGGGGCGGGTGAGGGGGAGTGGGGGGTGAGCGGGTGGGGTGAGGGGGAGTGGGGGGGGGGAGTTGGGGGGGGTGAGGGGGAGTGGGGGGTGAGCGGGTGGGGTGAGGGGGAGTGGGGGGGGGGGTGGGGGCGGAGTGGGGGGTGGGGGGGCGGGTGAGGGGGAGTGGGGGGTGAGGGGGGTGAGCGGGTGGGGTGAGGGGGAGTTGGGGGGTGTGAGGGGGAGTGGGGGGGAGTGGATGGGGAGTGGGTAGAGTGAGGGGGTGAGGGGGGGTGGGGGTGAATGGGGGAGTGGGTGGGGGTGAATGGGGGAGTGGGTGGGGGTGAATGGGGGAGTGGATGGGGGGGGGGTCCGGCTTGGAGAGGGCGTTCCCATTACCGCGGGGCGTGATGCGAGGCTCTGTAACCGTGGCAACCACTCCCTACGGTTGCCACGGCAACATAATTAGCCTCATTAGCATCACAAAAAAACCCCATCGTCAGGGCTCCTCGCGTGTTCGTGCCAACGGGTTGCGTTTTAATTAGGCCTGCGCGGGGCGTCGTGCCTATCCGACGTGACGAGGTGTGCGGTGTGCGAGGCTGTTGGTGTGACGAGGTTGTGCGGGGTATGCTGAAGTATGCGAAGAGGTACGCGCACGTGGCGTCTGACGATATAAAATATCCCGTGTGTAATTTGGTCTTGTGGCGGTGTGGTTTTTGAGGGGTGTGTGACGAGGTGTGTGACGAGGTGTGTGACGAGGTGTGGGGATTTGGAGCGGTGGTGTAGCGGTTAGCGCGCTGCGCCACAAACCCGGCAAACCAGAATTCGATTTCCGCTCACGACCAACATCGGTGAGGATTATCTGAACCAGTCCTGGGCATCCTCTAGGTCAGGGGTCGCCAACCTATGGCTCGCGACCCCTGCTCCAGGTCTACTCAGCCTCAAATGAGTACCTGGCGCGGTGTGTAAACGTCACCACTGGGGAGACAAAGGCGGTCGGGCGTGGTGCTGGCCGCCCACCCCCTCGTTTGCCACTCGCTAACAGCGCTTGCCCCAACAGTCTGTTAAGGCTGTCTTTGACGAGGCGCGACGAGGTGAATTAAGGCGTGTTGAAGGGTGTGATGAGGTGGGATGAGGTGAGAGAGGTATGACGAAGTGTGATGAGGTCAGGGGTGTGAAGAGGTGAGATGAGGTGAGAGGGGTGTGACGAGGAGAGATGAGTGTGACGAGGTGTGATGAGGTGAGAGGGGTGTGAGGAGGTGTGATGAGTTGAGAGGGGTGTGACGAGGTGTGATGAGGGGTGTGAGGAGTTGGTGATAGGGGTGTGACGAGGTGTCTGAGGAGGTGTGATGAGGTGTCTGAGGAGGTGTGATGAGGTGAGAGGGTTGTGATGAGGTGTGTTCCGGCGTTACCTCCCCGGCTCTCGCAGTCGGCTGGTTTCACCTGAATAGGCCGTGTCATCTGCACACAAGGAGCGACACGGCCAGCCCCACCATCATCATCACCATCATCATCACCATCATCACCACCACCACCACCATCAACACCACCATCATCATCATCAACACCACCATCATCACCACCATCATCATCACCATCATCATCAACACCACCATCATCATCACCATCAACACCATCATCACCATCATCATCATCACCATCATCATCACCATCATCATCACCACCATCATCATCACCATCATCATCACCACCACCATCATCATCATCACCATCAACATCACCACCACCATCAACACCACCATCATCAACACCACCATCATCAACACCACCATCATCATCACCACCATAATCACCATCATCATCACCACCATCATCACCATCATCATTATCACCACCATCATCATCACCATCATCATCACCACCACCATCATCAACACCACCACCATCATCACCATCATCATCGCCACCACCATCATCACCACCATCATCACCACCACCATCATCATCACCATCATCATCAACACCACCATCATCAACACCACCATCATCATCATCACCACCACCACCACCATCATCATCAACACCACCATCATCATCATCACCACCACAATCATCACCACCATCATCATCATCACCACCACCATCATCATCATCAACACCACCATCATCACCACCATCATCATCACCACCATCATCACCACCATCATCATCATCATCACCACCACCACCACCAGCCCAGTATCAGCACCAGAATCGTCACCAACATCATCATCAGCGCCATAACCAACATAATCATCTTCATCATCATCACTATCCACTCCAAACAAAGATCCCCCGTGTAGCCTTAACAGACTGTTGGGGCAAGTGCTGTGAGCGTGCAGCACCTATGAAGGCCGGCACGGCACACGAGCGGGTGGGTGGCCAGCACCACGCCCGGCCGACTTTGTCTCCCCAGTGGCGATGTTTTTACCACCGTCACATTCAATCCCATCAACAAGACAAAGATCCCCCATTTCGCCTGTAACAGACTGTTGGGGCCAGAGCTGTTAACACCTCTTTACAACAACAACAAGAGCCGCCATTCGCCACAGAGCGGCGGACACGTCACCACGGCGCTTGTGCCAGGCTAGGTGCACTCCGAGGCCACGTGAAGTGTCGAAGTCTCCCCGACGAGAGGTCACCCGCACACCTCGGTACACAACGCGACTCACCACGGCACTTGCGCTCCCAAAGGACGTGAGCGTACGGGCGCCCCTACCGCACACCTCACGGCCCGAGCACGGCACGATTCGCACGCAGCCCCCACGAGAATCACCGTGCCGCGGCGCCTTCGCGATGGATACAATAATCGCCGAACGTCGACCCTCGCCGTTCTTGATAACGAATTGCTCCGCGCGCTGCCCGCGAACGCCGAAACGCGACCCGCGTTTATCGCGAGGGGGGGCCACTGGAACGTCGAGGGGACGTCGCGGTTCGCCGTCTGAATTAAGACACGCGCCACTAATTAGGAGCGACCGCCGTCGTTGATTGGCGGTGATTGCGAGCGGCGCGTGGCGGCGAGAAGGCGCTTTGCCACCTCTTCAATAAAACATGAACCGGGCGAGGAGGAGGACGACGAGGAGGAGGAGGCACGAGCGGACAGAGACAGGGGTAGGAGGCACGGACAGATTGACAGATGGGTCGAGCTCACGCACAGATGGATGGACACAGAGCGAGAGAGGTGTACGGATAGACGGACAAAGAGGCGCACGGACGGACGGACAGGCGGACAAGCGGACGGACAGGCAGACTGGGAGCCAGATGGACAGACAGACGGGCAGATGGAAAGACGGACGAACAGAGGGACAACGCAGATGGACAAAATTGACAGGCGGACGGACGGACGGATGGACCGGTGGAAAGAACGGCGGAGATGTTGCATCTCACGACGTCAGGGCGCATAGCATCACACGTGTTTGTGACTGTGTGTCTGTGTGTGTGTCTGACTGTGTGTGTGTCTGTGTGTGTCTGACTGTGTGTCTGTGTGTGTGTCTGACTGTGTGTATGTGTGTGTCTGTGTGTGTGTCTGACTGTGTGTCTGTGTGTGTCTGACTGTGTGTATGTGTGTGTCTGACTGTGTATGTGTGTGTGTCTGTGTGTGTCTGTGTGTGTGTCTGACTGTGTGTATGTGTGTGTGTCTGTCTGTGTGTCTGTCTGTGTGTGTCTGACTGTGTGTCTGACTGTGTGTCTGACTGTGTCTGTGTGTGTCTGTGCGTGTTTGTGACTGTGTGTCTGTGTGTGTCTGTGTGTGTGTGTCTGTGTGTGTCTGTGTGTGTGTGTGTGTGACTGTGTGTCTGTGTGTGTCTGTGTGTGTGCGACTGTGTGTATGTGTGTGTCTGACTGTGTGTGTGTCTGTGTGTGTGTCTGTGTGTGTGTCCGTGTGTGTCTGACTGTGTGTATGTGTGTGTCTGTGTGTGTCTGGCTGTGTGTCTGTGTGTGTATCTGTGTGTCTGTGTGTGTGTGTGACTGTGTGTCTGTGTGTCTGTACGTGTTTGTGACTGTGTGTCTGTGTGTCTGTCTGTCTGTATGTATGTGTGTCTGTGTGTGTCTGTGTGTGTGTCTGACTGTGTCTGTGTGTGTCTGTGTGTGTGTCTGACTGTGTGTATGTGTGTCTGTGTGTGTGTGTGTCTGACTGTGTGTCTGTGTGTGTCTGTGTGTGTGCGACTGTGTGTATGTGTGTGTCTGACTGTGTGTATGTGTGTGTCTGTGTGTGTCTGGCTGTGTGTCTGTGTGTGTATCTGTGTGTCTGTGTGTGTGTCTGACTGTGTGTCTGTGTGTCTGTACGTGTTTGTGACTGTGTGTCTGTGTGTCTGTCTGTATGTATGTGTGTCTGTGTGTGTCTGTGTGTGTGTCCGTGTGTGTCTGACTGTGTGTATGTGTGTGTCTGTGTGTGTCTGGCTGTGTGTCTGTGTGTGTATCTGTGTGTCTGTGTGTGTGTGTGACTGTGTGTCTGTGTGTCTGTACGTGTTTGTGACTGTGTGTCTGTGTGTCTGTCTGTATGTATGTGTGTCTGTGTGTGTCTGTGTGTGTGTCTGACTGTGTCTGTGTGTGTCTGTGTGTGTGTCTGACTGTGTGTATGTGTGTCTGTGTGTGTGTGTGTCTGACTGTGTGTCTGTGTGTGTCTGTGTGTGTGCGACTGTGTGTATGTGTGTGTCTGACTGTGTGTGTGTCTGTGTGTGTGTCTGTGTGTGTGTCCGTGTGTGTCTGACTGTGTGTATGTGTGTGTCTGTGTGTGTCTGGCTGTGTGTCTGTGTGTGTATCTGTGTGTCTGTGTGTGTGTCTGACTGTGTGTCTGTGTGTCTGTACGTGTTTGTGACTGTGTGTCTGTGTGTCTGTCTGTATGTATGTGTGTCTGTGTGTGTCTGTGTGTGTGTCTGACTGTGTCTGTGTGTGTCTGTGTGTGTGTCTGACTGTGTGTATGTGTGTCTGTGTGTGTGTCTGACTGTGTGTCTGTGTGTGTGTCTGTGTGTGTGTCTGACTGTGTGTATGTGTGTGTGTCTGACTGTGTGTATGTGTGTGTCTGACTGTGTGTATGTGTGTGTTTGTGTGTGTGTGTCTGACTGTGTGTATGTGTGTGTCTGTGTGTGTCTGACTGTGTCTGTGTGTGTATGTGCGTGTTTGTGACTGTGTGTCTGTGTGTGTGTCTGTCTGACTGTATGTGTGTCTGTGTGTGTGTCTGTGTGTGTATCTGTGTGTCTGTGTGTGTGTGTGACTGTGTGTCTGTGTGTCTGTACGTGTTTGTGACTGTGTGTCTGTGTGTCTGTCTGTATGTATGTGTGTCTGTGTGTGTCTGTGTGTGTGTCTGACTGTGTCTGTGTGTGTCTGTGTGTGTGTCTGACTGTGTGTATGTGTGTCTGTGTGTGTGTGTGTCTGACTGTGTGTCTGTGTGTGTCTGTGTGTGTGCGACTGTGTGTATGTGTGTGTCTGACTGTGTGTGTGTCTGTGTGTGTGTCTGTGTGTGTGTCCGTGTGTGTCTGACTGTGTGTATGTGTGTGTCTGTGTGTGTCTGGCTGTGTGTCTGTGTGTGTATCTGTGTGTCTGTGTGTGTGTCTGACTGTGTGTCTGTGTGTCTGTACGTGTTTGTGACTGTGTGTCTGTGTGTCTGTCTGTATGTATGTGTGTCTGTGTGTGTCTGTGTGTGTGTCTGACTGTGTCTGTGTGTGTCTGTGTGTGTGTCTGACTGTGTGTATGTGTGTCTGTGTGTGTGTCTGACTGTGTGTCTGTGTGTGTGTCTGTGTGTGTGTCTGACTGTGTGTATGTGTGTGTGTCTGACTGTGTGTATGTGTGTGTCTGACTGTGTGTATGTGTGTGTTTGTGTGTGTGTGTCTGACTGTGTGTATGTGTGTGTCTGTGTGTGTCTGTGTGTCTGACTGTGTCTGTGTGTGTATGTGCGTGTTTGTGACTGTGTGTCTGTGTGTGTGTCTGTCTGACTGTATGTGTGTCTGTGTGTGTGTCTGTGTGTGTGTCTGACTGTGTGTCTGTGTGTGTGTCTGACTGTGCGTCTGTGCGTGTTTGTGACTCTGTGTGTGTGTGTCTGTCTGACTGTATGTATGCGTGTGAGTGTGTGTGTCTGGGGAGCGGTAGTGTAGTGGTTAGCGCGCTGCGCTATGAACCCGGGTCGATTCCCGCTCACCGCCAACACCGGTGACGATTATTTTAACCGGTCCTGGGTTTCCCCTAGGTCGACTCCGCCTCAAATGAATACCTGGTGTGTAAACATCGTCACTAGGGAGACGAAGGCGGTCGGGCGTGGTGTTGGCCACCCACCCCCTCGTGTGCCGTGCCGGCCTTCACAGGTGCTCGCTAACAGCACTTGCCCCTACAGTCTGTTGAGGCTACACGGGGGATCTTTGGGTGGGGGGGGGGCACGTTACGATTCCGGTCGCGATGTTGAGGGACAGCTCCACGAACATTCCTCTCCGTGGCACGGCGAGTTGGGGCGGGGGAATCGCGACGCCTCC